TGTAACGGGGTAAATATAGTGCCGGTGTGCATAAACCGGGGTAACGTCGGGGGGAAAAGAAACATGGCGGCGTAGCAGACGCTGAGCAGCTTGTGCACTGCTTAGTAGCTTATATATCGTTAACCTATTAAATTTATGAAAAAGAAAGCACAGCGTTGTTGTACTGGATTGCTGAGGAAGTGCACCGCTACACATACGAAATATACTCCCTTCCTCCAAATGCTGTTTACATTCATAAAGTCAGTTTCTCTATCACACTAACGTGATGGCTACCAGTGATCGAGCGACTGACGTGGTCAATGTAAGCATGCAAGTACCTCACAACATTAATAACCCATTTATAAGGAAAGACGTTTTTAATCTCCAGCGAATACATTTATTTATCAGATCTATTTGTATATGAAATAATAATCGGCCCTGAAAAGGGTGAATTTTTCAACACGGAGTGCCGGAGTATAGAATGATTTAAGTGCTCTTTTCTCTGTTTTGAGATGCCCCCTACCAGTATACCGCAGAGCTTGTTCAGCTTGTTTAATCATTCTTGCCATCTTGTTACTCTAAGTCGGATTTTTCGTGCATAAATCGGTATTTCTAGTCGTCATTTTGATAATAGTTCGTGAGAGGATATTCCACTCTGTTGTCTACTGTCCTGAAAGATATTTCATTATATCCCGCCTTCTCCACCTCTTCATTTTCAATTCTTTTCAAAAATGCCTTGTATTGTTTCCATTTGTAAAGGCGCCAAGCTCCGAGTATTACAAGAATTATAAACAAAGTCACTCCTATTATAACTCCAGATACTACGCCTGGATCTGCCTGGGGAACGGGATCGTTGGCAGAATCCTCTTCCGAATCTTCTGTAAGAGAGATAATAAAAGTGAAAATAAAACAAAAGGAGTAAGGCGCAAATAACCCTCAACCAGGGTCACAGATTGATTTTTGACACTTTTGATTCACGGATCTCTTGCTCATTCTATGCAATTTGCTGTAGGCCTACATTCCAGTGAGAACTTGTGCACATAATTAACAGCATCAAATAGCTGGCTTATGGTAGAGAGAGCTAGCAGATCAAGATTGCATCGTGGCGGGCCAACTAACACAATTATTACATATATCTCCAGCTAAAGGTTGATACTACGACCTGAGCCTTGGGACTTATGGACTATAAACAGACACATATGCTTTAGAAGTTTCAGTGCTATACGAAAGGGAAATATAAAGATTGGCATTGATTAATTGATACTCTTTTTCATCTCTCTCTCTCCCTCTCTCTCTCTCTCTCTCTCTCAGAATACCTGCAATACTAACCTGCACAGTTGGTTTCGTCCGAGAAATCGCCACACTGGTTTAATCCATTACACTTCACGTTCCCCCCAACACACTGTCCTCCTCCACACAAGAACTGGTCAGCTCTGCATGGTGCTAGAAGAAGAGAAGAGGGATGAAAAATGAAAAGAACGCTAATTGTTGCTTTGAGTGATAACTTTTCACAGGAGTGAAAGATAAAATATCAGTTTGTGTCCTTTTTGCTCTTTTGAGATGGCCCCGTATTCCAGAGCTTGTTTGATTATTCATGAGATCTTGCTCGCACATGTCCCAACATAACTTGTTGCTAATACAACAAATTTTTAGCAACCACGCCTGCCGTCTAATATTCAGCTTTTTTTCTGTGGGGAATGTATCCTATTCCTTACGGCACTTTTAAAACTTTTTAAGCTGGACAGATTTGCGGTTAGTAACAACCTCTACCCACAACAGTCTGATGAAGGCCTACATGTACATCCCACCTTGTTTTATAATTATCAAATATGATCCGACTACCAAGCTAATAAACATTTGGATAGATATGGATTTATAATGTACTCTGTAGCTAGAGATTTTAAAATGACACTCCGATCTACTTGAGTTATTGTTTCATATCGGCGTGCTTGCTTTTAAATAAAACTTTATTGTTCCTTTTACTATTTCATTATTCCAATTCTCATCAGTAGTGTATTGAATTATTATGATGAAAAAATCATATCTTATCATTATATCTTTATTCTCTCATATCACCATGTCTCAACAACGGGTTGTCTCGTAATTAAGGTGATGGGAACAGGCGTAGCCATTGAGGGTGTGACTCTAGACTGAGAGAAAAAAGGATTAGTGTTTACATATTACACTGTATTTTTAATGCTTTATTTACTCTTGATGCGTCATCATCGGTCGCACTCTCTCTGAGAGGCCAGTTGGGTGCAGTGATGACGTCTTTTTTTTTTCAAAAGCTCTCGCTGTAAGTAAATCTGCACAAAACACAATGTGCATTTGATATCCACATTATCCTTATTCGAGCAAAACAACAACAAAGTTTTAATCGGACGGTGAATAACACAATATTACGGTAAAGGTTTTAATGCTTAGCTGTTACAGCTAGGAATTATCATGCCCGAAAACTGCGCACATTGCAGAAAATAAAAATAAATAAATAAATAAATAAAAATGTAAACATGAGAGAGCCTCCTTAAGAGTTATATCACAAATAAATCTTTCTCGTTTAAAACATCCCTGTCACAATGTTTTCACTTCTTTTTTAGAAGCTTCGTCGTCGCTTAACAACACAGTTTACTCATCGTTTTCATTTTTATAAGAAACTTGATTCCCGTCAAATAAATATATAAATAAATATATAAACACATAAAAATACTACCTTGATAATAGGCCGTGAACAGTAGACTGAAACCCCTATCAACACCAGAGGAGTCTGTTCTGAAATGCACAGTCACGGACGTTGAGGAGGTAAGGAAATACAAGCCACTTCTACGGCCACACAGCGGTGCTGTCGGTATAACCGGGCTTGCGACGCTATTACCATTGTGAAGAGTCAAATTATCAAATTTACATTGCCCGTCCGTGCTTTCCTCTATCTCAAATCTCTGCAGGACCAGTATGAGTCCAACGCCCCCCGTGGCTGTTGCGGTGAAGACGCAGTTCATGTTGTTGTCGTACGTTAACGCGGTGCTCGCCTCTATTCGCCCTTCTGCTGCCTGTACGTGACCGTAACATGTTTCCGTTAAGTAGTACACTGAATAAATAATAATGATAATGAATAAAGACCGATTCAGGTAACACTGCAATATAGGTAAGAAAATATGTTGTGTTGTTTCGTTGCTATGGAGAATACGTCATAGACGCGTTTTCTGCTGGTAGGCTTATATATCATGGTGTGGGGATAACGTTATTATTCTGATTAATCACGAGACAGAGAGTATAAACAGTTAACGTTGAAATAATGATCACTTTATTACATTAACTTAGCTAAAGACTACTTTGTTTAGACAAAATACAAAAAATAGCAATGTGTCATGGCTTCAGATATTGTTCTTATTTTATTTATTTAACTATTTTGGAACTATTGTAGCCTGTCAATATATAAAATGAACTTACCAGAATCTGAGTCCAGACCTTTAACATATCCAAACGTATAGAGAACAGCGACGAAAAAACAAGAGGGCAATCCACCCGTCTGTTGCAAACCGCCCCAGCAACCGTTCAAATACATTGTTTACAACGTTCTGTAAAATACGACCCAAGACTTGTGATCATAATTACTTATAAAAATCTCTTAATTCACGGAATCCAGTAGTTTATTCTCCGGCTGCAGCCATTTCCGAACTAGGTGAGAGACGGACGACCTGACATCCCTGACGCAGTTTTCAGTTTCTTCTCTTCTTTATACGGGCTAACACGCTTGGATTGAAATCTCCTCTCTGGTCTGATTTTTAGACATGAAAATCTGTCAATAGCGGCAATTAAGCCGTCTCCCGTGTGATTACAGCACTCCAAATCCACCTATTGACACGGATAGATAAGGCAGTCGGCACGGAGAGCTGTACACAGTGACGCTTATCACTGGATTAGTGTAGGGAGCATCGATTGCGTTAGAGAAGATTGGATTCTGTTCTAACCATCAATAAAAACTACTTGAAGAATAGCCTTGAAGGCTCTCTGTCTCTCTCTCTCTCTCTCTCTCTCTCTCTCACACAGAGAGAGAGAGACAGAGACCCACAAGAGTGCGTTCGGGTATAATCATGCTTTTACGCCATATTCGGCTAAAACTTAGTTATGTGCTAAAAATTAAAGAAACGCTCACTATAGACCTTTTAATAATCAGGCCTATGACGTTTCCAGTATTGAGAAGTAACGAATGCTGGCCACAAAAAATTTAGGCCCACCACCAATGCAGGTGTACCCTTTCGCAAAGAGCAGATCCAACACGGCCAGATTTGTTTAAATAAAGAACAGAAAACTGTAGATATCAAAATGATTAATATTTACTTTAAACACTATTTCATCTTAGTTTATCTCGTAGAAATTATTTATCAATGCTTAAAGATAAAAACAAAAGATATCTGTAGAATCGATTATATGTTTATTGAATTAGCAGGCAGAAAGATGGCATTTATTTATACAGTACAAAATAATATCAATGATTTTAAAATTAACCTTCGAAGCGATAGTGAATAGTTCCACAGAATGTGTGACGGATAGATGAAGGTTTCAATAAGTCTATATCGTATCATTTAATAAACAAAAAATGGTATTTGTATACAATAGGCAATGGTAACGAGCCCAAGGCATATTCTTTCTCTATTTACTTTTGTTATTCTCTAAAACGAAAAAAAAACCTGTAAATTTTTACAGGTGTGTAATTGAAAGCATTCTAGCGTACGGAATTATAATATGGTATAGCGGAACAGCTGGGGAGGAAAGGAAGAAATTAACAAACGTGAAAACTGCAAGCAGGATTATCGGGCAGGATCTCCCCAAGCTGGATGATACTTTTAAAGACAGGGTGCAGAAAAGAATTGTCAACACCATGAAAGACTCTTTCCATCCTGCATCATCTCTTTTTACGTTTTTACCAAGCAACAGTAGACTTTTAACTTTTAAAGGCAGTAAACGCTTTTAAAGACAGGGTGCAGAAAAGAATTGTCAACACCATGAAAGACTCTTTCCATCCTGCATCATCTCTTTTTACGTTTTTACCAAGCAACAGTAGACTTTTAACTTTTAAAGGCAGTAAACGCTTTTTAAACATCTTTTATCCAAGTGCAGTGACGCATTTTAATTTGATCTCAAAACTAAATTCTTAATTAATTTATTTATTGTATTATTTTATTATTTTACTCTGTATATTGCTCCAAAAGGAAAATGATTTCCGATTTTTATAATTGGCTAAATAAACTCTTATCTTATCTTAAAAAGAAATGAAAATTTAACAAGTTTTCTCCGACATAAAGCTGCATATCACCCTGCTATTTCTGAAGAACGGAATTCAGGATTGCCATTAGTATTATTCTGGATTAATAAGAGGCAATGCGTATGAAATCACCTTTTTTTTCAGCATGTGAAAATGAACATATCAGCAACGCGTGAAATTGTTTTTGAGTTTACTCAAAATATTTTCTTCCTATATATGCGAAAGTACTGGGTACACCGTTTGCCTGCGTACTCGAGACGTAAACGACGTCGGTATAACGAAACATAGTGCTGTACGATACGAGTGTGACAGTACTTTTACCTGAACAATGTTCAAAATGGGACAAGTGACCACATCGGTTGCAAAAGTCATTCATTCATTCAATATAAAATCTTGAGTTTAAATACGACTTTGATCTGATTTATATATCATATAAATAGCTTACATATATAGGCAAATCGATTGGTCGAGCGGTTTGAACTTATTGGGTTAACACCATAACCGACATGCTCAATATTCACATTCCCGATGATTTGATGTTCAGGGGGGTCATCCCCCTCCCCCAACAAACATCGAGGTTCAAATAACCTCTTGTTTACTTACGTAAGTTTTCCGATCAATCATATTTTAGTATTCAACTGTTTGCAGTTGGTTGCTTGGTAGTCTCAAAGAGATGGTAATACACAAGGCAGTGTTAAAAAGATTTATCTAAATTTTAGAAAGCGCCATGCCATCAACCCTAATTTCCCCACGTTAATCCAACACTGCCTGTAAAGCAGCTTCTAAATCAGCAATTTATGAACCAAATCATGAACAAACGTAGCCAAATGTATAGAATTTCTTGACTTTTTCACTCTTGGAGTGCATTACTATGCGGTTTTGTAACATTTCCTGCTACACTGAAGGAGTTACAGTATCCAAAAATTTTCAACTTTTATCAACACAGAAAGACAAAACCTTATTCTGGCCATTCACTGATCTAGAGCATGACACTGTGAAACAACTATCAGTATATAATTCCAGTTGCACACTATCCTGACAAACTACACGTGGTACATGTATAACAGGGCAAATAATGGTAAATCTTTCATGGTAACATAATGATATTGTACCATATTATTTGTATAAATATCCCGTAAAGAATAAGTTGCTTATTGCATCTAAATAACTGTTATAAATCTCATTTGGTATGCCAGCAAATGTGGAAGTGAAAGTGAGAGAAAGAAACAAACCGCTCCCTCAGTCATCACTAAAAAGTTTAGTGCAATTACAGTTTTTGACAAATTTTCACACCTAGGGATTAGATCCAGAATTCTCTTCTTTACTGTAGCTGTCACTTTTATGCAGCCATCAGTACAGTATTACACAAAGTAATTTGTTAGCTAAGCAACAGCCCACTATACGAAAGCTACTGCAAATTGGTCTCATATAATGAGAACAAATGTCCCTCAATAAAATGCTGTTTAATACAACATGTACAGCATACACCAACAAATGGTCCAATGTTGCCACTGAGGGTCACAATCATAAAAGGAAATCTTAAATTATTTTTGCTGCTTGGTTTAAAGACCATATTCCCAATAAAGAAGTAAGGCAGGCATCTTTTTATATCAAAAGGACATTTCATCAAACAGGACCCATATTTTAAGAGATTCACCATTTGGAGGCTCCTAGGATTGTGTCTGCTATATCCTTCTGGGTTAAAATATGGCGGACCTAGCATTTTGACAGTTTGGCTGATTTGACAGTTAGACCCCATTTTTATAATTAACTTGTTGGAAAACCGCATGTATCTCAGTCATCACTGGGTTTCATGAATTCTTTTTTACTCTTTTTTCTTTTTACAGAGTCTCTTTCCTCTTGTTCATCATCTTTTGCTGATGATCTTTGACGCTTTTTGGTAAATTTTTTTGCTATTGTACCCACAAGCGATTCATATCTGTAAGAGAAAATGAAGACAAAAATAAATAGAGGAAAAATTCAAACTTTTTTCACTTGCTCACAAAAATTGTATGCTTCTAAAGTATACCCTTTTAAAGGTACAAAACAAGATTTTTCCATTTTTCTCAAGTCAAAAATGTAAAAAATATGATACTGTAAGAATTATCCATAATCATTGCCCACATTATACAGTATAAAATATGTAAACATTTATATGTCTATGTCCATTATAACATCCAGTAACACTATGGTCAAACTAATCTTAAGTAAATACACATACACATACATTCTTACCATAATAACATAACAATGTAAAGAATGGAAAGAGGCCTTTTATACTTCCATTTTATATTTATGTTTTCATGTACAAATAGCAATCTTAGATTAACTTTATGTACTACATCATCACCATCTCTATGGTGTATTTGCTGCAATATATGTTCTTCATATAACTTCATATAACTGGTGGTGTATCATAAGCAATATACTACCACTGACCTATTTGCCATTTCTTCATCATCCACACTGTTCATTTTTTCTCTCTCTTCTGAAGCTGCCAGCTCTCCTTCTGTCTCTAGCCTCTTCACTAACTTCTACAAACAAGAACATAAGACAGAAATGAGAAAAATATGGACCTGATGAGTTTTAAGCTCTTAATTTACAAATTTCTGAAGATTTTGAGGTTAAATCTGGGAAATATGAGAGGGGCAGTTCTATATGATGTGACTGTAGGGCTTCAAATACCAATTTGAACAAAAAAAGTCTATAGATTGATCCCTTGGGCAAGCAAGGTCTAAGAATCTACCCAACCAAAGCATAAAACAGTGGCCAGTAACTGATTAAAAATTGCAAAATTTCACTGACCTAGCTGGCTTCAATTTCACTGGTATTTGCCATAGGCCAATGTTAATGTCACAGATTGAGGTACCTTAGGCATCCTTTGTTGCCCTTCCAACATCCTATCATAAACTGTTTTTATGCTACTTACTTCTAATTCTGGATTAAACCCTTTGAATGACATTCTACCAAATTTTAAGTCTTCTATTGGTACTAGGCTTGGTTCCGTGACAAAGTTATTTCTGTAAATAAGGTAAAATGATGCAAGAAAAGTGCATCATACAAATGACAGGCGCATGGTGACAGATCTAATTAATTTTGTAATTTGCACTTTAACATTTCTTTCATAGCCTGTCAGGTCACATCATACTCTTTCATAAACTTATTAACCAGTACCATGGGGTCAGTTCAACTTAGAAATCAAATTGTACAGTACATTATATTTGCCATACAAAGGCAACTTCACATTGCAGAACTGAAGGTAACTATATAAAGGTAATTTTAATCATAAGAGCGATATTCTATTCTGTGCCTGGTGCATTGGGAAACAAGGCAGCAAAGCTGTCAAATGTACAGACAAAAAACAGAAAATAAAGATGCAAAAAAGGTCATTTTGTCAATTTTGATGCAATAATAAATAATGCTTATAATAGCACTGTCAGTCAACACTGAATTTTAATCATGCACAACAGGTAACATGGTCAATAACAGGAGCGGACCCAGAGATATTTTCTGACAGTATTACAAAGTATCTATGTTGATCCATCCTCCATTTTGATGGTGTTCCAACAGAAAAAAATAGATACCAGTCAATATAAACTAATAACCTGACTGTCTTCCGGAAGACCCAGAAGATGGTCTCAATCCACCCCTTCAATAAGATTACAGTTTCAGGACCATGAGCGTTCAAATTCACATTATGAAAGTCTCAATATTTGAAAAATGATGACAGTGCATAAAATAATATTACATAATGTTTAAAGACATAAAAAACAATATAACTGCTTATGTAGAAATACAGAAAATGTGCAGAGCCCCAGGCAGATGACAGCCTGCCTGGGGCTAAAAGTCACAAATGCAAGTGTTTGAGAAAAAATTATAAAGGAAAACAACAAAACTAGAAAAGCACTTTGAGAGTGCAGACCTCTGCCAAGGCAGCAATTGTTGATTATTNTGAAGGTTAACACGGGGTGCGCACATGCTGTAAGTTTTAGATATTTCTATCGAGTATGAACAATTCAGAAATAGCCTGTCTATTAAGATGTTGTTAATCATTATAATTATCGCAATGAAAATACCTTCATCTGAAGTAAATTCTTTGAAAGCTTGGTCTTCGAGGAAGACCCATGTGGACCTGCCATCTTTACCATCTACGTAATTAGGTCAAGTTATTATTAGCACAACTGACCTAGAAATTTCATTTCTATCGTGCGAGCAAATGCTCGTATCTCCAGCAGTGGATTTGTGAGCAATATTTCACTTATATGCGTACTCAGACACTTCAATTTTACATGTGTCGAAGATGCGAAACAGTCCTCTGAAGATGTGGGATTTCTGTGCCAAGGTCCTGACTCAGTGGTCCTGACTAGTCTGGTATATTTCAAAGACATGTGTTCGGTTTTGCAGCGTCGGTCAAGATGTTGCCGCGAAAATTGCTAATTTCGTTTTTAATCGGTTTTATATACTGTATATCTGGTACTGTATATAGCATGGTCAACATATATATACGTGTCCATGATCGTGGGACTAGAGTTTAAGAATTAAGCTGTGTTGAACATTGAAGCAGTACGTCTTTACATATACATGTAGTTATTCGGCATTAAATTTGTAAACCAGATATTCACGATATTTAAGTCCCTGCACAACTGAACTTTAAGCATGAATAAGATCTATAGATCCCCGCAAATAAATGAACCCCACCTCTGCAGAGAAGACTTTGGGTGAAAGCTGAGATCTTTGGGATCTTGTGTTTGCACATCATTATGAGCAGGTAGATTTTATGTCTTTTATGTTATTCAGATGCCAACAGCCCCATCTTCTTTAATGAAGAAAAAAAGGAGTGAAGATTTATAATCCGCATTATAAAGCATGGCTAAGGAAATACATATAACTCTGTTGAAGGTAATGTTGTGCTGTACATGTATATACAAAGCAAACATGTAATGTAAGGCACTATCTGACACTACAACCAGAAAAAAATGCATGTTTTAATTTATAGCATGTTGCATATATAATAAGCTTACAGAAACGGGGGGGGGGGCATTTTATGTAACAATCATGTGTGTGTTATGATGGGATATGAACTCCAAATCTTACACGATATCTATAGATGGAAGGCCTGCACCATATGTGTGGTACAGGGAAGCATGTGGCATGATATGACATCAAATAACAGGATATGATATATGAGTAACATGACATAACACAATTTTTAGGTGGAAGACCTGCACCTTGTGTGGTACAGGGATGCAAGTGGCATGATATGACATCAAATAACAGGATATGATATATGAGTAACATGACATAACACAATTTATAGGTGGAAGACCTGCACCTTGTGTGGTACAGGGAAGCAAGTGGCATGATATGACATCAAATAACTCGATATAATATATGAGTAACAGAACATAACACAATTTGTAGGTGGAAGACCTGCACCATGTGTGGTACAGAGAAGCTGCCAGCATCAGCTGCTCTGAGGAAGTGAAGAAATACCATGAGATGATGGAGAAACTCAATGAATTGATGGATGATGATCAGGCCATTACCCACAAAGTTCACCGCCCAACTATAGGACAGGTAGAGTTATTTTGCTTTTATTGATATATATGTTCTGCTCACCTTGCAGTGTATGTGTTTTTTCAAAATTTTTTTAATGAGCAGTGATAGTCATTATCAGGAGTCTAACCTGTCCATGTATGTGGTCTTTTCTTTCTTTGAAATTTTTTGATGAGGGAATAGAATTCTCATTTCCCTAAATCTTCATTTTACTAATAATTTCTTTCTCATTATTATAACCATTCAAAGACTTTTATGTAAAATGTTATTTTTTCAACAATTTTGGATGTGGCATATTTTGGAAATTAAGGTTTTTTGTTGTAGTGAAAACATTCTCTAAAAATTAAACTTTCTGCTATATGAAGCTATATTGCTCATAGTGTGACTTTTCCAACAGTTCTATGCCGGCAGGGATGTGAAGGAAAGAAGATGGTTCAGAGTCAAGATAAAGAATTTAATGCTTGCTACCAAAAATGGACCTACAGCAAGGTGTGTTTTAATATAATCATTTTTTGAAGATTTTAAAAATAAATGGAATGAATATTATGATTTTGAGCATTATTTAAACATTTAATAATGTTTTTAAAAAGTTTTAAAAAATGTTATTTGAAAACTTGGTTAAAACATTTTTAAAACCTTTAACATTTAAAAAACATTTTCATTATAATTTTTCAGTTGCTTCCGTGTGGACTTTGCAGATACAGTAATGATTCAGTTTTCAAAGTAGGTACAATATTTGTGATAAATTGTAGGGTCTTAACCTTATTCAAACATGCTTTATAACATATTAAAGTTATCAAATGTCTAAATGTACTTTATTTTATTAAATTTTAATAAAGTACAAATTTCGATTGTAGCACATAATTCAGTGAACATTTTCATTAAGGTATTGGTTGTAAAAGCTTTATATGTAAACTGTAATTTTATTAATCATTTAATTTGATTTTCAGCCTGAGGATTCTCCCAGAAGAATATGGTGTCAAAAATATACCTAAACAAGCCAAAGAGATGGCTTTCTATGGCTTGCAGCCTCTGACTCTAGTCACAGATCTAATAGAAATGAATACCACACCAAAGTAAGGACACTGCAATAACTTTTTTTTGTAGAAAACAATGTATTTATTTCCCTTTTGCCCTTTCCTTCTTAAGACGTTAATTATAACTTAATAAGTTGCCATTTTTAATGACACCGAAACAAAAAAGTAAAGCATATTTATTTTGTCTTTATAATATCTATAAGTTTCCACATTCTTAAAAATAAACTTTTGAGAACCAATGCTGTATTATATAGAGTGTTGGTTAGTTGGATTAATGTTTGAATTATCCTTGATTTTGAAGGCCCTGTTTTAAGTGGAGTGTGTCTGCTGTAGAGCACGTCAGACGTAAAGTCAAAAGTAAGTAACGATACCAACTGTTGTATTGCAGTGCCACCTGGTGTGACTTCTGACACAATAGGTCACATCTTTCTAACACCATAGATATTATATGGCACAATTAATTTCTGTGACACCCTTTTGCAAAAGAAGTAATCAAGTCAAAGCAGTAATATAAACTCTGTCCTTAAATAACATAAAAAACATTATTTTGATGGTCTGAGAACAGTAAATGAAGGTGAGGGGCCTTTTTAAGAGTTATGGTAGATACCTCTACCTGCTTAGCCATTTTTGAAGAAAAACAATTTTTTCTTCAAAAAAGTTTTGGGGAAAGTTTTGATTTAGCTTACTAATTTTTACCTGGAGATCCATACTATATTTTTTCCTCACAAAACTTGTAATAAAGCATCCTTTGATTTTCCTACCCCTCAGATCATAGCTGTAAAGTCCAAATAATGGGTACAGATCACAATGGCCGCCATTACGTTCGCCTTTTCACCAAGATGGCAGACATGGAATGGATGTGCATCAACGATGACTTAGTTGAATTGGGATATGCTGTGTTTTCACACCAAGTTGCAGAACAAGGTAATCATGGAGATTTTGTATCTTTGTAATTTCAAGGATATTTTTGCCATAGGTCTTAACATTTCCAAGTAGTATCAGGTTTATATCATCCAGTTTGTATCAGTATTTACTAGTTTCACAGAATGTCACCTATTTTTGAAATTCCTGTGCTGTGCATGTGCGTGTGTGTGTGTGCGTTTTAGATTATTTAGAAATCAAACTTTTCTGAAAGCTAGGCTCCTTTTTATAAAACTGTTTTTATATAATTTTAGAATTAGTATGGACCATAAGTCAGATGAAAATAATGGACTGAAAGGCTTTTTTTACCAACAAGAAAAATCAGATATCAGATTTAACTTTATACTGTTGTAAAACCTCACAGAATGATTGTGTGATATTCATGCTGAGAAATTAAGCAGTTTGCACAATGCATTGCTATCTATGTGGCTTATTTCAGAAAAAGCAGGCTCCACCTCGCCCTATACCACAGAGACAAGATCAAAGCCCAGCTCAAAGTCTCGTACTCTGAATGACTTTTTGGGGGAGGAAAAGGAGAAGGAGGAGATTCGACAGAAACAGAGGCAGCAATACTTGGCAGACTACCCACAGTCTTCCCACTCCCCCTCACTCCCTACCCTTGTCAGTGATGAAAACAGCAGCGATGGCGAGATGGAGGCTATTAGAAGACAAATACAGTCACTAGAGGGCAGCAAGGGTAGTGATAACATAAATACAACTTCACAGCCGGTTGTGACTGGTGGAGGAGATGGCATTGACCAAAACACAAACCTGCACCAAAAACCACTTGTGAGACCAGGTGGTGACAGTTACGAAAGTGATTCTGCTGTTAAACAAAGAATCACAAGAATGCCATACCAATCAGAGGCACAACCAAATATGATTGGCCAAGGCAGTGGAAGGTCAAGGTTAGGTGCTCAAAGGGGGTCAGCGAGTACTGATACACCTCAGGAACTCTTTGGGACTAGTGTTGCATCCAGTATGGTGCAAAGTGAAAAATCATGTACCAGTCATCAATTACGAACAGGGCAAACATTTGAGCATTCAATATCAAATCCAGTGTCAGGACCAACAGATGCATTGTCTCAACAGGTCACTGATTCACATGGAAAGTCATCCACAAGAACCAGTATTCCTAGTCTCCAAAGACATATTCCACTTAGTGGATCATCTCTCCTTTCTACACTAAAAAAGCTCAGTCCATCAAAAAGTAACGTAGTTGAGACCACAAGTGTCAACAGTCCTGGAGAAATGCACCCAAGCCCTTCATTGTCGACAGATCTGGAAAGTCCAAAATCAGTTTCATCTTCTGAGGTTGACAGCAAGAAAGCAGAAACACATGCAAAGCCTAAGATGCCATCTTTGCTGTCAGCTTTGAAAAGTCAGGCTGCAAGACAGCAGGTGTCTGGTATTTCTCATGCCCAACCCAGTGCCTGTAACCGTTCTGAATTGAGCTCAGGTTCTCCTGCTGTATTGAGTGGAGTAGTAGAGCAAGCCAATGGGAACAATGCTGCCATGGTGATGAACAAGGTTGAGGCTGTGCCGCAGCAGGATTTAACTGCTTCACATAATTCTCCAGTATTAGGTGCAGAAAAGGAGACATTTTCAACCAGAATATCTCCAGACAAAGTGCCCTCTAATATGCAAAGAAGCGAGCCATCTTCTATTATGGTATCGAGTAAACCCCCACAAAAGCCCATGGGAAGAGCCTCCATGTTGATAAATTCTCTCATCATGGTGAATTCTCCTAAAGTTGGTCTCTCTGTTAGAGATATGGATGCCACTGTGAGCCCCGATGGTAAGAGGACTAGTCTTGTAAAAGTTTCATCAAGTGATGTTCCCAAGACGGTATTCAAACAACCCTCTTGCTCTGCAGTGGCAGACTGTGAAACAAGCCGTCAAACTGAAAAACAACAAGAACAATCTGAAGATAATTTGGTGTCTCCTTTAACACAATTGGCAGAGAAGACTGACCCTGATGCTCTACAGCCAGAAGAACTGTCTGTCATGGAGGAACAGCTGACAAAAACAGAGGATCAGATATCAGTAGAAAACAAGACAGAATCTGAAATTCCTCATGACTCGATAGAAAGAAGACTGGAAATAGAGAATGAAATGCTAAATCAACCAGGCTCATCTGACTCTTCATCAGCATCATCTCGGTCTAGCAGGAAAGGAAAAGGAAAAGGAAACATCAGTTGGGCAGAAGAACCAACAATACATACCTTACCTGAGACAACATTGGTATCACAATTCCCTTCAGAGGTCTATGCAGTATACAGATCTGTTGCCCTGGAAACTGTTTCTACAGAAACTGCCCAAGATGGCCAATCAAGACAGGCTCAATTATCCACACAGTCACCTATTACACAGACACAGGTAGCAGCACAGTCTGTAGGTGGCAGTGGTGCTATATCAAAGAGACCCACCACTGCCCGCCTGCCTGGTGTGGCACTACAGAAACAGAAAAAGGAATCTCAAAGTCCTGATATTTTGAACACACCTTCCCCACCTCAAATACCAGGGTAAGTTGTTTTTGTGTTATTTTAAAGGTTAGTGTAATCCATTACCTAAATGGGATATTTTGTACTTGAATATCAGATTATTAAGTTTTATTGATGGCCATTAGATGTACAAATGATTTATAAAAAGTTTGCCCTGTAAAGTGCCCCCCCCCCCAAAAAAAAAAAAAAAAAAAAAAACATTTCATACTTTTTGCTACTAAGGAGCAATATTGGTATATATGCTGAGTTTACAAAGCGAATTGCGGTGTCTCCAGGTCTAGTGGTAAACCCTTGAAGTCGATCCTGAAGAAGAGGGATTCTAGTGTCTACTTCTCAGACCAAGAATCCAGTCCACTGAAGTGAGACCATTTTTCAAAACTTTTAATATCATTTTTATGGTGCATTTAAAAAAAAAACCCTTAATCAAATATATTTTTTTAATAACTTCCTTCATTTACTTGTTGAATTCGGAATAGAAAGTGCACGGGATAATGAAAATTTCAATGACCTTGCAACCTCTTATGTTGACCTCTGACCTTTCAGTCTCCCTGGTGATGTGGTGCCCTCCCCCAGGTATTCTTCCTCTGATTCTGAGACACTTGGTAACCCTGGAGAACAGGGGACACCAGAAAGGAGGTATTTTTTGTGGCATTTTGATTTCTCATTACATCTTTTCAAATTTTATTTCATGTTTTTGTACAGGTAAATCAGTTCGAGTCAGATTTTGTTTGTCAGTGGAAATAAGAAATATTGAAGTTCTAACATGTTTTTGATAAATATTGTGTTTGAAATGACATGTTTAAATTAAAAGGACCTTCTATGTTTGCACTTTCAGAATCCTAGACGAAGACCTTTTTAGCTTTTTTCATGGACAACATTTTGGATCTCCCATGCTAACACAGCAGGTAGGTTCTAGTGTGGGGCACAGGTAAATCAATTTTATAAGTGGTTTAAAAATAAAAAAGCTGGGTTTACATTATGATGTCCTCAATTAATAGGGTCAATCAACTGTACAATTTACACTTGTTGTCATGGCTCTGTTCAATCCCACTTATATTAAACCAGTGAATTTTTAGATTTAGTCTACAAATATGCATAATAATTGAAGTTATTTACTGTATTCTGAAGGCGCGAGGACTTCCACAGAAGGACATCAGTGAACATGGAGTGCTGGTGGACGGGGAGAGACCCTCGCCGCCATGTTTGTCTGTGACAGACGCAAACTTTGATGATCTTGTCAACAGGGTGAGATTTTCTGAAAAATAATCTATAAAAAATATTTATGATGAAAAAAATGCACTCAATTGTTTACATCTCTTTCCATTTTAATTTTTGAGTTGTAACTTGCCCAAAAAGTTTAGAATGAATATTATCTTATGATTGTAGGCTAATGAAATATCCACCATAATCAATGCACACTGTTACAAATTAGATTCATTGAGATAAAGCAACTCTTTTTACAATTCTAGAGTTATGTATAACATACTACATAAAGTAATTATTACTGTAAATTAGGTTGTTGACTTGTTACTGAATTAACTCTTCTGATCAGGGTTTATATGACAGAAAGTTTGGCGCCCCAATCCTGGTTCAGGCTTACATATGGCGACCCATGATGCGGGCCCGTCATGTTGTAGCAGTGTCTCCCCCTAGAAGTGGTAAAACACTGGCGTACTTGTTGCCTGTGATATCACATATACTGCAGCGGGACACATACAAAGATGTGCCTGCAGGGAATGGGGTAAGTGCAATGTAGGTTTGCAAGGTACTTGGTAAGAATTTCATGCTGATGCTATTGAATCCAATAGAAAAAAAGATGAAGAATAATGGTTACAGGTCTCCTTTAGATTTTCTCATTTTGAAAATGAACACTAATTTACAAATTTAGTGGTCTCTTTCTGGCTAGTAAAATAATTTATTTTGGTTTTCTGCAGTTCTTTTTTCTTTTCTTTTTCTTTGGCTTTGGAGCAAATTATGAACTGTAAAATTAATGGAGTTATTATTATTAAACTTGCTAATATTTGGATTTTTATATTAATAATTGGACTTTTTCTTTCAGCCCCTAGCCCTCATAGTGACCCCATCCTGGAAGAAGGCACAGCAAGTATTTGACTGGTGTTATGACTTCCTTGGTGGCCGTCCTGACGCCAAGACGCTGATTATATATGGGGGCGGTTCAGAAGAGGACCAGTATGTGAGTGTCCAAGAGATGTGTCTTGTTTTTTGTTCACTTGATGTACTACATAAATTTAAATTAAACATACCACTCTCTTTTCGTCTTTTGAGAGTAATACTGTAAAGTTAACAGTTTTTACTGCCTGCTTTTTCAAAATGTCAAAATTAAGAAAATGAAAGTTGTTTTAATGTTCAATTTTTATGTAATATTATGTGTGTTACACTCATCAGGCTTCCACCCACTGCCTCCTCAAGATGAAAGAAAAATGAGAGTGCCCATGTGCATCAGATTATAATAATGATAATATTGTGTTTTTGTTGGTAGATCCCACTGCTCAATGGTTGTAAGATACTGGTGGCTACCCCCTACTGCCTCCTCAGGATGATAGAGAAGGGCTACACCAACCTCAACAGACTGTGTCACCTTGTCATGGATGATGCTGATGTCCTCACAGAGGACTTCACTGACCAAGTGAGTGAGAGAATTTAACATTTATATACCCTGATTTTGTTTTTTATGAGCAGTAATTTCTCTCTCTCTCTCTGTCTGTCTGTCTGTCTGTCTGCTTGAGTATTTTATTATATGGCTGTCACCTGCGCTGCTGTCGCCATGCACTTTCACTGATAACACAATAAGTGGAAAACCATTTTACCTTTTGGCTCATTGATTTTTATTTTATTTTCTTTATTTATTATTATTATTATTTTTTTTTTTTGAAAAACTGACTTATCAGTGTTTGTTTAAAATAAGGAGCGTCTTTACTTTGAACTCAAAATGTTCAGTAGTTTCCAGCTTTTTGGATTAGTGTACATTCAGTCCAGTTCTCACAATTTAATGATTTCACAATTTCAAAACATTATGGCATTGTACCATAACTTCAGATCTGTCAGTTGATGACTGGCTACACACAAGTCCTAAGGACAGTGGAGTCCAGCTCGCGTCCACAGCAGATAGTTATGGTGGGCAGCCAGTGGACACCAGGGATGGCCTCCTTCAAGGACACCTTCATGGTGGATCCCCTGGTCATCATAACCTCTAAACTGGAGGCATCCATTTATGCTGGAGTAAAGCAGGTAATGACATTTTTGTTGGTCAAGATAAGTTTTTGGACTGTGGTGTTAGAATATCAATTCTGGTATAAGGTGATGTCTTAAGCAAAACTGATATAGATTAGTGGCTTATGCGTGCATGTATGCACGCAGGCGCGCGCACACACACACACACACACACACACACACACACACACATTCATGCACGTGCGTGTACACGCGCACACACACACACACACACACACACACACACACACACACACACACACATGGGCATATGTTCATATGTGTGGAACATTTTTTAATCCACCTAAAATATGTACTGTATTTCAAATTTTGCAAATGATGCCCAGATAACTAAAAACTAAATAAAATCAGATCACTGTATTTTCTTTTTTAAGCAAGAAAGACTTATTTCACTGTCTCTAAATATTTAATTAATTACTTATTGTGAGTAATGCTATTTCCAGAGTGTGTACATGTGTGTAGCTGCTCAGAGAGACCAGCAGTTGCTTGGTATCCTCAATACATTTGTTCTGCAGGACAAGAAAGCCATCATTTTCACCAACTCTACCAGAGATGCCATAGATCTCTCCCAGGTAAGGATCAGTATGAACACATGAATTTTGATTTCGCCAGGCATAATGGTTTATTGCAGCAACCCCTTTCCTTATGTTTGTTTCAAAGAGTTACTGATCAAAAGGATATTGTAAAAATATATTTGTTCAAACATGTTTTGATTACAGTAACTTTATTTTGTCACTAAACTTGCACAAAGTGGCTTTAATTACAAGTAAAATGTTTTCTTTATAGTTATTACAAATTTGGTTTAAAAAAAACTAAATCTTGTAGACTAGTTTGAGGTAAAAATGGAGCATAATGTTATTGTAAATCTAGAAGTTGGTGTAATAAAAATTAATCAGTTTTGTATTACTGTTACATTTGGGTGATCAATTCCAAAGTTAACATACTATTTTGTGTAACCAAAAGATATTTATTTAGGAATGATAATTACCTGCTTCAGGTCCTGAAGAGCCAGAGCATGTATGTGTTAGTAGCTCACAAAGAGCTGTTGTCAGATCAACTGGAGGATATTCAGAAAGATTGGAATATTGACCACAGAGAGGGGTCCAAACCCGTGTTAAGTAAGCACACACACGTGCGCGCTCACTCGTGCACACGTTGTCAGATGAGCTGGAGGAACTGATTAAAAGAGCAGCAAAAAGCTCAATGACATTGAAGAGGCTCTACAACTTGCCACATGTTTTTAATTTAATAAACAGATTTTTCGTAAATTTTATGAATAAAAATAGAACCCCCCAAAAAGCAGTGACATGTTGGCATGGCCCTCATCCTCGTTTGTGTAAGAATCTGTCTCTAACATTAACATGCAACTTGCCCCAGTAGAATTGAAGGTGAAACAGAAAAAAATGATATTTTATATTATGTAACTGTTCAGTAATTGGTCATAATATCTGCTTAGGTCAGTGAATGTTTTAGCCCTCGTGGCTTGAAGGCTGAACAGGTTTTCGTACTAACAGAAAATCATGATAATATTTTGCAAACATTTATTAGGTTTGAGATTTTTTGGTTCAATTAAATTTCTCCTGTCTTCCAGTCCTAACAGATGAGTGCATCAAGGAGCTTAAGCTGACCAATGCCACATGTACCATCCACTTCTCCCTCCCTGACACCAAGAAGGCTTTTGTGAACAGATATGGATGTATGCTGGAAAACTTCAAGAGGAGTCAACAGGAGGAACAGGTGAGGATGTCCTCTAACTCTTTTCTATCATTATTAACTGTGTTATCATAGAACTCTGCACAGAGGTCCCTCATACTTACTGGCATGTTTTACAAGCAATTCTAGATTGTGCATATCTCCTTATCATCACCAAGGAAGATTTTAGTACTGACTGAATTGGTATACATGCCAAGCAATCCCTGTATCATTACTTTCTGTATCGTCATCACAGATTAGTAAATGGAGAACTCACTGTACACTTATAATACATTTAAAATGCAATATCCAGATTGTCCTCACCTCCTTTATCATTGTGAGGAGAGATCTCATTGGAAACTCGTATACATACATTCAATTCCAGATTGTCCTCACCTCCTATATCATCATCACAGATCAGTGTACAGAACAAGCTCAAACTGTATTACAGCTTCTACTTAGAACTAAGTCTTATGTGCCAAAGAAACTGCAGACCATGGTAGAGGATGTCAAAAAGGTGGGTCTGCTGGTTCAGTTTCAGTTTAAAAGTTTAATGCAAGGCATAAAGCGTATCCTGGGATTTCACCATTATAGAGAAATCAAAGTAAGACAAAGAGCTGTCATAATGATTATTTTCTAAATTTTATTTCAACAAGAATTGATTTCAAGTAAAATTAATTATTTTTAACCTTAACTACTAACTAGCAATCTTATAGAAGACTGGAATCCCAGCCAACATGAAATCACAAAATTATACTTATTGTCACTTTTAAAAATTTATTTTGTCTTCATGGTTTGATTAACCTTAGGCCAAAGAAGAAGAAAAGTCAAAACCACTGTGCCATTACTTGAAATCATTTGGAGTTTGCCGAGAGCGCCAGAGGTGTGAGCACCGCCATGTTGTAGTGAAGGAGCAAGATACGCCTGGCATCTCGAAGCACCATATCAGTCTGCCCACATCCGGGGAAGTCAAGGTAAACTGTATAGTTTGCACAGAATTGTACCATTGGAGAATCGATTGCTGCAGACCATATAAGGGAAAGCAATTGATATGAAAAGTGACAAAGTGATTATTTTTGCTGCTTTATTCATAATTATATGTCAGAAAGTTCCCAGTTTGAATACAAAAAACTGGCCATTATAAAAATAGTGCAATTTTTTAAAAATTTCATATTATTATCCTATATTTTTATTTGTACAGAGAAACTGTATCTGTATCTATCTGTCTATCTTCTATCAAGGTCCTTGTTACCCATGTCATTGACAGTGCATCATGTTTTTATGTGCGTCTCCAAGAGCTCCGCAGTGAGACGGAGGACAGTTTCAAAGCAATGGCCGCCGCCTACGTACAACTGGTGTTGGACATGAACATGTGGTTTCAAGTTAAGGATAATCAAATTATTCAAGGTGAATATACAGATACTGATGGTTATTGAAAACTATCAATATTTATTCATTTTATTTTCTGATATTTCAATTTTTTTAATAATGATAATTTTTATTTAGAAAAATTCATACACAGTTTATTTATTCTTATGCTTCTCTTGTTTGGAAATCATCTATTTTAGCTGCTCACAAAAAGTATACATGAAACCAACTGACTTTACAGAGCTTTTAAGGCAACATTTTTTAAATACATTATAATAATTGCTATATAACAAAGTTTCTTAAAATATAACTAAGTTAAATTCATTTTGTAGGAGTTGAGTGAATAATTGTTGAAACACTCCCCCCCCCCCCCCCACACACACACACACACTCACCTTATTTCACCATTTCCACAGACTCCTTATTCAAGAAATATATCGGTGTTCCTAATTCTGTGATAGCAGAGTGGCTTGTGCATATTGCCATAGTGCAGAGGCTTAATACTCAGAGTCAATATTGAAACAATCTGAGTATTATTAAATTGGGATTCCCAGTCACTCAGTCAGTAATTGAAGTCAATAAGTCACAGCTTCTTGTCTCAGATGGCAATTTCATTTAATACTATAAGGCCTGGTGATGATTCTTCCTATCCATTGGTTTTCTCATGTGGAAAGAATGTTAATAAAGTCATAGGTCTATATGTCCTGTTCTTTTATAGTAAATGGCTATTTCTCTTGACTTTGAAAAATGTTGTCTAAAATAATTACATAGTATATTTATATACAATAATTTGGAATTTTATGGATATGAGGGTGCGTTGTATTTTTTTGGGAAAATTATTGTTGAAGTTCTCTGAAAAATGTGAAAGTTTTTGATCTAATTGGCTTACAATTTTTGCTTACAGTTTTGGCTTACCTTTCGACTTACCTTTTGGCTTCAGTTTTGGCTTACACAATTTTTTGGCTTACACAAATTATGGCCTTAACAATCTTAGCTTACACAATAATTTGGCTTACACAATTTTTTGGCTTACTCAGTTTTGGCTTACGGTTGGCCTCTTTGCAACCCCACAATTTGAAATGTGTGCACTATTTGTCTGGAATTATAATTTAAATGTTGATACTTCTGGCGCACACTAAGTTTATATCATCTATCAACATTATCAATGTTTATCAGTAATACGCTTTATTTCTTTTTATTAATGCGACTTCCAATAAAAGCGGCCATCACCGGCCAAATTTCAAACATCACACTTGTGTCTGTTACATTACTAACGTGGACATATCCTAATTCTTACTTCAACTTAGATCAAGGAGACATAAATGTATTTGTCTCCGATCCAAATTATATGCATTTTAAAAATAAAAAATATCAGATGTATCTTTCTTGTGAAATTTGCTCGAAAAGTTATGTACAGTACTTAACACCAATATCTTAAGTCATTATTCACCTGTTGTAACATTTTATTTCAGATGAAATTTGTGAGGGAACAGTATGTGCTGTACAAGACGGTCAAAAATGCTACCACAGGTAAGACGCACAACACAGTTTTTTTAAAGATAATAAAAGTAATGTTTAGTCTGCAGTTTAATCTGCAGTATTTGAGCTTTATGTAATATTTGCTTGATGTACAATTTTCTTCAAAATATTCCAGGCCTGCAAACTTAAAACATACACTTTTTCAGATGCCTGTCCTTTTTTATGTATGTTTATTCACATACATTAATAATTCAACCTAGTAAATTAGCCTTTACGGTGGATTCTATAACTGTGTTACTTGAAATGATTGGTTCACATGTTCCTTTCTTTTCATAATATTACTGACACAGTCCCTGTCATCCCTTATACTGCTGGCATGGTCCCTGTCATCTCTTACACTGCTGACATGGTCTCTGTTGTCCCTCATACTTTGGGCATGGTCCCTGTCATCCATTATACTGCTTACATGTTCTCTGTTGGCCCTAATACTGCTGACACCGTCCCTTTCACCTCTCAGAATGACATTTTTTGTTTCTTTTACACCACAAAACCAAGGACACACCTTTCTGTAGATTCTCATGTGAGATTGTCTTATTTCTGACAGCCTCAACCCATACACAAATGGATTGATGACAGAATTAAGTAGAAGTATTATGTAGGCAATTATAAGGAATACTAAAGTGTCTAAACTGTTGTTGTTGATAATTGACCCAACAACATAAGGGCACCAAAAAACAACAAAGGTTGTAAAAAGACAAATGCAAGTCTTAGCTAGCTTCAGCTTATTGGAACTCCGCTTAGCCTCCTGTGTAGAGAATCTTCGCACGTTCTTTAAGCTTTTGGTGACCTCCTGCAAGACCCGAATGTTGAGAAACAAGGTCGTGCAACCCACTGTTCCGACCACTGCAGGCAAGATGTACATCGTTATCCTCTTTTCATTGACAAAATAACACAGATCTGTATCGGGCGAGATCGCAGCCTCTATCAGACTAGCGATCGTTTCTAATTCTCCGAGTATAATGGAAATCAGCCATGACAGTGTGTTAAAGATGTACATCCTGCGTTTTGTGACCACAGTGCTGTACTGCAGAGGATAAACAATGGCAACGTGTAGGTTCAGAACAAGTCCAAATATAGTAAGTATGGATGTGAATAATGCCACTTTAGGAATGTCAAACAATATGTTTATAATGCAGTAGGATGATGCCAGGTTGCAGATGATTATCTCTATAAAACGTTCTATTCTGTTGGCCCCTGCTGTTTCTATGACCGTCAATAATGCCATTAAGCATATGATACAGTACAAAATAAGGTCTGCTATGGTCAGATTCAGGAGTAAAATGTGGTATGAATTCATCACTGGCTTGATTCGTCTCACGGCACAGAATGACAGGCAGTTGATGAGGATTCCTATGGCACAGAAAACTATGACACCTATTGCAATAAAGAGAATATTGTCAAGTCTGTAGTTCATGATTTCCAGGTCTCTTTGACTGATGCTGGCGCTGTCATTGCAGATGAGGGTTATCCATTGCTGTGTGGTAGAAGCTGTGATTGTCTCATCTGTTGGATGCTCCCAGATCATTGTGATATTACCAGATTGTGATAGACCCTGAACCTCCATTTTCATATATCATGTAATAAAGAAATGAAATAAAGTAATATTTTTTAAGTTGAATAAATCACAAGTATTGTTGTGACATTATCTGTAGACAATGTACTTTCATGTACATGGCAGAATACCAAACTTTTCACCAATCTCTTAGAGAATTCAGTGAACTATTAATCTGTCCATTCAGATCATCACATATCAATGATACCTAGAATTATTTTCACTTCACTATTGGAGAATGGCACAAATGAAAATGAGAGAGAAAATTTAAAAAAAAAAAGCTAATTTTGGGGGCAAGCAACCACTGTTTCTGTCATTGCATCTCTTTTGATTACTGTTTTTTTTATCACAGCAGTGGTTTAAATCCATTGTCACACTGGCATGCATTTATGCCAGACTGTTTTCATTGACAATTTCCAGTTCCCTCTAGAATTTACTGTCAATCACAGACAGTTCAGATTTCAGCACTGGCCATGATCCTGTATTCATTCCCCTTAATTGAAATTATAATGACTGTCATGATACTAACCTATGGGATACACCAATGACACATGGTCATTGGAATAATAATGATGATAACCTAGATGTAAGACTCCTTATCTGCTGGTATCACCACTCAATTCTATTTTCATGGGTCTTGAAGAATTAACTAATCAGAGACAGGTGATGTTTAGACAAGGGCCACGATCCTGTAATCACTCCTCCTTGTGATTATAGTCATGATACTAACCTATGGGATGATATTTGGTCATTGAAGTAATAATGATAACCTAGTAATAATAATGATAACCTAGATGTAATAGTCCTTAGCTGTTGGTATCTCCACTCCATCCTGTTTATCTGACTATAGTCCAAATTGTGATACTCTATGTTGTATAATTTGTGTCCAAAATAGTTATAGAAGTTATGGATGATATCAGATTCATGCAAAATAAACAGTATCTTGTCACGGTATTTTTTTTCTGTGATTGAAATTAGTTTTGTTTTATCTCCAGTTTAATCATGTGTACTACAATTTTTCTTACTCCATAGAAGCTTTACATGTGAAAAAGGTAAACATCACCAAGAATGCCACAGTCATAAAATCATCACATTACAAACTCATGATCTGTGAGCTCCTTACTGTTCCTTTTTGAAGCGGCTTTTGTTACAGCTCTCTTTTCTGCTCCACACTAACAGCTCTATCCCTTACAGTATAAATCCAATTGATCATGACTGTTTCACACAATAATCGGTTCCTTGTGTCCTGTTTTTATTGCGAAGTCATTTTTTCCTTTGATCATTTTCTATCTCTGTTCTATCTTTTACATGTCGTCCTGATAAAATTGAGTAAAGCTGTTCAGTTTTTCTCATCACTTCACATCTGCCGTATAAACTAAGCACAATATTGTTACTTATTACATCACATTGACTGTCATTTTAAGTCCCTCTTACATAATCTGTGGAAATTGTCCTTGTTTCATCTTCAAACAAGTCCCAGCTTTTATGGTAAGATGACTGATGACAGTACAGAATTGAATATTGGAGTTTCAAGTTTGTCTCATTACTGCTGTTACTAACAGTACATTGAATTCCTGTCATCAGTTCAACACAAGTTGGTAAAGAGGAGAGAAAGAGTGAAACTTGGTGTGTGACTAGGGAAATTGAACTTTTGTTACCACTAAACCATACATGAGTGAGGGTCTCATTGGGTATTTTCATGTGAAAACCACTTTTTATTTTCCAAAATGTATGTGAAATGTTTATATTATTTAGGGTGATCCATGAAGCACCCCATTCCCATGACTTAAGTATGAGGCCTTTTTTTTCTGCATTATTTGTAAAACTAACTCAATATACTTGGCGATTCATGATTTTCACCTAGCCAAACTGGCATTTTCAATGAGATATGAATAAAGTTTTATTTACTGTGATTTGTAATATGATTTTATTTCCATGAACTGTCCCCCTTGAGAGACCCTCATGAATAGTGTGGAGTGAGGCGAAAGAGGGTGAAATGAGACATATAACCAGAGAAATAATTACTACATTTTCTCTAATTGTTTTATTTTGTTTAATTTTGTTTTTGATTGTTTTATAGATACATTTTTAGCAATTTTATGGTTGCCATGAAAGTGCTATGGTGTATATAATAGAATGTGGTAAAAAAACGTGTTAAATTTCATTTGTCTTTATATTTAATGCAGATAATGTCATGTCCATTTATGTCCTATTTATAATATCTGCCAACATCTGTGTTTTAAGTGTGTGTGTGTAATATGTGTGTGTGTGTGTGTGTGTGTGTGTGTGTGTGTGTGTATGCTTGTGCATGTTTGTGGAGGTGGGTGTGTGCATGTTTGGGAGAGGGAGTAGAACCAGTTCAGCTAAATAAAATTCACCTTTTATTGCCAACATAATGAATGGGACATTGCCTTTTCCTTTCTCACTTGTCTCACTTTGTACTTCTATTCATCTTTTAAGTTTCTATCTTATATGCTTCACTACCCTTTCATTAGCCCTGACATTTCAAGCTGTTCAATAAGGGATTTTATGTAATTGTGTATTTTCACAAATATTCACCATATATTGCTTTCATTGTATTGCAAAGAGATGCCTTTCAATATTATCCAGGAAAATTTTCTAATTAAGAGGGGAGGTCATATCTTAATTGTGCAAAGCAGTATTTGTATTTGCTGTGCTCTTCATCCCATATTGCTCAACCCAATTGGTTTGTGGAGTTTCTGGTTATAAATTTAAGACTCGCATTTTGCCATTTTGTTGTACTGGGTTGATTTTCAGAGGTTAAGTTAAAATCTACAATTGATTTATGATTTATGACTCCAAACAAAGCTTTATGTAGTAATGGTGGAGCTGTACAACTGGTCAATCTGCATTTCTTTCATAGAGTAATCAGACATCATGTGAATTTTAAATCCATCAATAGTACCAGCAGTGGAGGCCTGTTGAGACAAGGGCCACTTGAGACTAAAGGTTGTTTCTAACTTCAGTTCATTTGCCAGACAGAGAAGATGAACATTTTTTTTTTTTTTTGGGGGGGGGGGGGGAGCTTGGCTTTATCTGCTAGAATTAGAATCAATTTAGGCCCAATAAACATAGTTATCAAACCTAAATGAGCTATTGTCACCTCTGAGAATAATAATTGTCAAGGCAATCACAAATTATTTTATGGGTTTAGTTAGGTGAACAATACAAAAACTAATAATAATAATAAGTAGATAAAATAAGGGACCTTCTGGATTCTTTCTTAACCACAACATTGATGGCTAATTCTTGGGATGAATCTCATGTAATTGGATTGAACTGAGGTATTAGAAACATATTATTAGGAGAATTTCTGGTACGTGGGTTTTATGTCACTCAGGTGGGACTGAAAATGTTTAATCCATACAATAAGATGGAATGGTGCTGAGTGTAGCACAAAGCCTTGGGTCGAATTAATATGTAGGTAAACTTGACGTGCTGATAACAATTATCACACACTTGAGCGTTATTAAACGCAAATGCAATTATAGTGTATGCTCTTTGGATTTGATCAATTGATTCCAGGATTCTGTTAGATTGTTAAAGGAAAAAATCGGTGATGTATGGTTATCACTTAAAAGTTCAAAAATCTTCAGTTTTGTCGTATTTTACTTCAAATTTTTAAGTAAGAGTAATAATTTTCAGATATTCAGAACAATGTATCTTTTGTACAAATGCAATTCACCTTTCAAAACCTTTGAATCATTAATGTTATAATCATTATGAACAAAACATTCCAGGATTCTGTTAGATTGTTAAAGGAAAAAATCGGTGATATATGGTTATCACTTAAAAGTTCAAAAATCTTCAGTTTTGTCGTATTTTACTTCAAATTTTTAAGTAAGAGTATTAATTTTCAGATATTCAGAACAATGTATCTTTTGTACAAATGCAATTCACCTTTCAAAACCTTTGAATCATTAATGTTATAATCATTATGAACAAAACATTGGAAAATATGAATCCATGTAATCTTAATGCATTGAGCAATTACACTGTATGTTGAATAATGGCTATATGGTAGATGTATATTGTATGACTGCTCGTATTTAACATGAGATGATTCAAGTTTATAGACAATAGAATAAAGCCGTGCAGTCTTGAAGGTTATATAAAGCTGCCATTTACACATTGTCATCTTTGAGTTTTTATCTGCCCTCGGTGTATTAAAAGTGGTTTTAATATATATGTATTCAGAAAAAAAAAACTATGGATGAAGTAACTTTTTTATTTTGATGTGAGTTCTGTTTTGTTTTTTTTCAGAGTACAAATAACATGTATTCCACAGTCAGAATTTGAAACTGTAAAAGAAGTCCAGGTAGGAATATGCATCTAGAAGAAAACACATGAAATATAAACAACATGCAATTGACATATAAACATGTGCACATTCCTCTACACACATGAGAATACACTAGATGAAGTGATCATCTGTGTTTTACCTAATTGGAGCTTTTAAAATAAAATGTGTTAAATTGAATCGGGGAAATTTCAATGTGTAGCGTTCTGTTTGGTCATAGTTATATTATCATATTAAGCTCTTCTTATCTTCAGGTCCAGTATGTTGATGTAGGGAAGCTGGAGTGGGTTCCCAAGTCCAGCATACTCAAACTGCCGCAACATTTCCTGGAGGTGCCATTCCAGGTAACTTATTACAGGTCCATAGCCAGCAATTTGAAAAAGGGGTTCTTTTTCTGAAAAAGTGGACCTTTTACCATGAAACCTCCATGTACCTAGGTAAAATTTTATCCAGAGGGGACGTTTTCCCAACAAAAAGAGGGGTTCTTTCGAACCCCCTGAACCCCTCCTTGGTACAGGCCTGTTATTTGGTTAAAGTTTGATCCAAAGCAGACAAATAAAACAAAATTAGTTTGATAATCAGCCCAAACTATATGTTGATCTGCACTGGATTGAATTTTGATCGAAGTAGACAAATGAAAATCAAGTTTATACAGTTTGTCAAAAAAAAAAAAGGAAAAAGAAATAGAAGTACAATGCAAATGCATTGTTTAATATGCTACAAGTCAGCAAAGTGTATGTGAAATACACAGTGCATAACACAAGTGAATAGCATTTACGCTTAGCTGAAAAGAGTTGAATTTGACTTATATCCCATGGATGCCAAGATCAAATGACCAGACGTGGGGTATCTCCCTTTTGTGAATACTGTGTATGTGTGAGAGCTCCCCTACATCTGGGTGTTTTGTTCTTGACATAAAACAGTTTAATTAAGGGAAAAAAACAATATGTAAATTCAAGATGTTAGATATTGGATGAAGATGTCAGCTGTTCATGGGGTATATTATAATATTTCAGGCTGTGGAAGTTTATTTGTGCTGTATTAAACCTGTGGATGATGACACTGAGTGGACCAGAAAGGTAGGAAAAGGTGTAGATATACTTTTTTTTTTTTTTTTTGGGGGGGGGGTAGAAAAAATTATTTAGGTCATGTAAAAGAAAATGCTTTTCCAGTAGTCTAAGTGAAGTCATTGTAAATGTGATGCTGGAAAAAAAGGTGACCATATTTCATTGATGGTTGAGTACTCCTGACTTGATTTCAGGTTGAATCATACAAAGACTATATTGAAAAAGTTATTAGCTATCTCCTCAATAAGGACACAGAATGTACAGGTTGAAGCAGACAGTACAGGCACTTATTTAATGTCTCCATTCTTATTGGTTTGTGTGATATTTGTGTTTATGGAGGGGGTTATATCATGGAATTCTTCACTGTTCAACATCCTGTTTCGGCATTCCTTAATTTTGCTACCCATGATAAATCATGAACATTATGAGGCCTTTTGCTGTTGGTTGAAATATAAGAAAATTCATTAGATGATAGGATGATAGAAAAAAATGATAGAAAATGAATGGCATATTATTGGCAAATTGTGTCACACTTTATTCACTTTTACTTTTTTAGGCAGTAGAGTTTGTTCACCAGTTGGTAGAGGACAAGGAATTAGATGGCAGGATATGTCTGAGGTAGTGCTGGACCAGGAGTGGAGGGGGGGGAGTATTCTTGCACAGTACAAGCATCGAAATTATTAGTCTTATATTTTCAACTTTTGCCAAAAAATGTTACAGTAGATAAAGTGTATTATAAGTTATTCATCCACCATTTAAGTCTGAAATAGATGTTTTGAGTTACAACTTAACACATATTATGATCATATTCTGTAATGATAACGTTTGAAAGCAATCTTAGTGAAAATCCATATATAAATTGTTATTTCAGTTTTAGTAAATACAGAGAGCATGTCATTACTTCATAGTCATAATTATAAAAATGTGCTCAGACCAGGTAAAAATGAAAATATTTGATTTTGTCAGCCTGGGGAACACATTATGGCTGAACCCCGTGGTGTCCAGAGTAAAGCTGCAGTGTACCAGGTCTTTCTTCCACCAGTTTAGTCTGAGGAAAGACTTACTGAGAAATGGACTGGCTGTTAATAACCTGCAGGTAAAGAGATTATGAATATGAGAAAAGAGTAGTTCAAGATGAATAGAAAAAATATATAAGATAAAATTATATAAGAGATAAAGAAAACATTTAAAGGTGACATTATATCCAAAATTACAAATAACATGTCACAAGTATAATCTTAAAGTTTTTGTATTTACAATTGATATTTGACCTGTTTATTTTTGAAAATTTATTTGGATACTGAAGGTTTGAACCAATTATATACTATGTTTTAGATTTGGAAATTTGATAAAAAGTAAGATATCAATGGTATACAATAACTGATATTCAAAATTTAACTTGCCAAGCACAATTATTTAGTTAATAATTAAAAAGTTTTGTATAACTGTTTCTAGCACTTGGACAAACTCTATGAGCTGTGTGAAGGGAAGGTTGATATTGTACAGAGGGCGCCAAAAGACAACATGGACGACAGCCTCCAAAGTGTGACAGTTGCCATGGAGACAGAGATATTGCCAGAGAGTGAAGAGTACCATGAGGTGTATGTGGCATCCATTGACTCCCCAGGGATATTCCATGTACAGAAGAGAGAGATGGAGAAAAAGTAAGTTTGCTAATAGTTTTTTCTTCAGCATAACAGGGAAAAATGTGTTCTTACAATTACAAAATCAAAAAGAATTTATCACTTTTAAAGATCATGCATTTTATAAATTATTTTTATCGTACACTTACTTATTTACTTGTTCTCTCTCTCTCTATTTTTATTTTTTTGTTTGATATATTATCAAGTGATATCTTTCTATGTACCAGTACTGAGTTTGAGACCTATACTCCAGTTGTATGATATGGTAAGGCTTAAAGATAAAATCTGTCTGTTAATAAATTATAACTCTAACCTTTTTTTTCATTTCAGAATTGTTGCATTGATCGATGAAATAAATGAGGAAAGTGAACACATCTTACAAGACACTTCTTATGTGGATATTACCTGTGGCACCCTTGTGTTGGCTCTTTTCCCAGAGGATGATAGGTGAGTACCTAAGGGGGGCATGTATGGGCTTTGATCTCAGAGGTTGTTAGGTAAGTGCAGAGGGGGTGTGGGTTTGGGGAGGGATAAAGGGTGAAGTAAGTTGGGTTATAAGTATCATTGATGCTGATAAATGTGCGGATTGGTAAATAGATAGGATAACTTTGCACTTTCGTTATTGTAACAGTTCAGTACAATAACTAAAATCCATTGAAAATGTTCACTGGACTTAAAATTGCAACAATCTAACAATTTTTAAATGACTAAAAGATACTTTGAATTTGCAGAATCTTTAAGATGTTGAAGTATGAATCTTTCTAAAACTGTCTGAGATTGTAGGTTCTCATGTCAATCAGTTCATGATGTCACATTTCAGATGGTACAGAGCCCAAGTTTTGGCCACCAGGGGGCACAGTGAGGTTCATGTCCTCTTTGTTGACTATGGTGAGAGAGAATGGCTGGTATTTGATAAGATCCGTAACCTGCCAGAGAAGTACAGGACGCTGCCTTTCCAAGCCATTGAGTGCTGCCTGGCAGATCTTGCACCCAGGGGTAGGAAGCTCTGTGATTGCCTTGTTTGATTTTTTGATTATTTGTTTGTTTGTTTGTTTGTTTGTTTGTTTATTGACCATCATGAAATGGCAAGAAAAAAAGATTCTGAAGCAGTCCATTTACATATTAACTAAATTAACAACACTTAAGGGATTGTCACCTCTTTATCAAAATTAGATTTATCTAAATAAATTCTTCTCACTTATGATCATTATTAATTATTGTAATTATTATTAATGTATTTATTTCAATCATATTTACATATTTATTTGTGTTGTTTGTTTGCTCTTTGTGAATGTTAATATGCATTTGGGTACTATTGTTATAGTAGTTTGAATTGTTTGCATAGTATTCTACCATTAAAGCTTATGTTACTATCTTAAAGTGATGACGCATGGTTTTCAGAGGGCCAGTGGAAGGAAGGTGACACTGATGCATTCTGGGACTTGGTGCTGGATGACCAGGATCAGAAGATTGCTTTAGTTGCCAAGGTAACTTATCCATTGTAATCCATTGATGAACTTAATGAGTGTATTTTAATTACTTTGGTTAAGATGTTTTATTTATATCATTCCTTGATATCTTAAAATTGTTATTTTACTACAATGTAGTACTCTGTTACATTTTATTGATAATTAATGATATTATTTTAATAATTAAAACATTATAGAAATCATAATGATTAACTGCCACTCAAGAATATTCTTATGTCTTTACCAGACTTTAATTTTTATCAAATTTCCATTTTAACTGACTCAGAAGAAATTTGATATGTTTTGGCTTTCCTGAAGTCTTATTAAAAAATTTAGTAAATATTTAGTAAAAATTGTAAATCAATATGAAGAAAGTTATTGATATTGTTATTCTCTATCACATTTATTACAATAATGGTTATAGAAACAATTATAAGAAGAATAATGTTTTTGATTTAAACAAGTTTATATAAAAAAGGTAACCTGTAAGTGAAGAATATGTTTAGATACTTTAACAGTAAATTATTGGTATACAGTCAACTATGATTTATAGTTCAAATTTGATGCTGTTGACAGAGCAGATTTTATGAACATTTTCTAGGTGATCAACAGAAGTCCTGCCATGTATGGTGGCTGTCACCGATATCACATTGTGTTGTATGACACAGAAAGTGAGGATGTCACCATCAACATTGGTGACACTTTGGTGACCCAGGGGCGTGCTGTTAGCCTACATATACCAGAGGTAATAGTGTTTGTGTGTGCATGCGTGTGTAAATGAAGGCATGTGTGTGTCTAGTTATTTATTAGAATAAAATATACTGAAGGAAACCCAGACAGCCTCAGTGATCTGGCCCACGTCTGGGCCAGATCTGGCAACGTCTGGCAATGTCTGGCAAAAGGTATGGCCCACGTATGGCTTGCCACATGTGGGCCAGATGTGGCAATGTTTGGGCCAGATCTGGCCCAGANAAAGGTATCAGCTTAGCACAATCAGCAGTATTTGATTACAGTTGGCAATGCCTCTATTGTCTTTGTACTGAACTGCATTGTGCGTAGATTTTATTGCATAAAAGTATATTTTACTGTATTTCATTATAAATATTATAATAGTACTGTATACAGTGGAATACAGTATTATTATTATTATTATTATTATTATTATTATTATTATTATTATTATTATTATTATTATTATTATTATTATTATTATTATTATTATTATACTGTATTCCACTGTATAGTATTGTATTATGTTCTACAGGAAGTGATAGAGGAGGTCATCATAGGCAGCAAGCATTATGACTACCCCTACCAGAAGATCCCAGACCTGTGTGCAGCCTTGCAGATATCTACGGTAATCTCAGAACTAGAACAGTGCATTATTAAGATACGACATTTTAGAAAGTATAGCGCATTGTCAAGTTTAATGTTTTTTTTCTGTACAGTTGCAAACCAAGTATGTTTACTATAATAGATAGATCGACTAAATGATAGCTGTGATGATAAATTGATGGGTGGGTCAGATAATTTAAAATCAGTATTCCTGTGCTCTAGACCACCTTCATTGGCAATTTAGATCAGTAACATCTAAAATGGTTTTACAAATTGATGCGTAATGGATATAATTTTATTCTCTTTCTTTCTTTCTTTATCATTTGATTGGTTCATTCATTTAATATTTCATGTTTTTCAATGTTCCCCATAGGATGAGATGAGAAGATTGTTTATAGCTAAAGCTTTACAAAGGACAGTCATGAATTCTGCGAAGTAAGTTATATCTATCAGTGAATGCAAAACGCCTTCACTGACACTATTTCAAACTGATACAAAATATTGTCACAAAATAGTTATAGAAATAAGGAAGGATGAGATAAAAGAGTGAAAAAATTTCAGACTTGTAATCATGTGAACTGATATTTGTTATTATATTAATCAAAAGCTGTTATTAGAACAAATGTTTTAATGATAATGATTTTGCCTTAATTAGCACTTTTTATTGATCCATTTATTTACATTTGAATTTTGAATTGTAAATTTAGATTTTTAATTTCTATGTAGTTTCAAGGATGAAATCAGGGAGATAGGTGGAATCCGTCTACTTTGTGGTCTCCTAAACCAGGAGACTTCCTCAGAATGTGTGGAGTACCTGCTCCTGACTCTCATCTCCATGTGTGCAAATAACTCCTGGTAAATTATGTTTTTGCCACAGGCTGTTTCCAAAATGTATCTTCCTGAGTGTCAGAGATTGCTCATTACTCTCCTACATCATGCCTTTGCCATTTTTAGTAACCAGTAATCTCTGAAACTCTGGGTAGATATTTACATATTAATTCTCTAGTGTATGTTCAATACCAAAAGTGTACTTTTTGTTATTAAATGGATGAAATGGTTCATCCAGTTGGACCGTTTGTGATTTCTTATTAGTCAAAGTAGGCAGAAAATTGGCCTAATCTTTGGATCTTTTAAATGTTTATTTATGCAAATAGTGTGCCTTTGAGTAAATCTAATGGGTTGAATCTTTGCTTTCAGTAACATGGAAGAATTGAGGAATGAAGGAGGAGTGGACATCTTGTGTAACTTACTTGCAGTGGTGGGTCCTGAGTGAAAATATTGTAATACATAGTCATGGTTCACATGATAAAAATTCTGATATATTAGACCGCTTTTTCTTGATTAAAAGAGAGATGAAATTAAGTAATGTTACAAATTTCACAAAAGTTTTAAAACCTCTCTATCTTTATTATGAACTCGATTATTTAATATTTGTTTACTTTTATTTCTTTGTTTGTTTGATTAATTTATTTTTGTCTCTCAGGCATTTGACCCAAGTCTCCAGGCCCGGGCTGCTTGGGCCATAGGGAGTGTGGCAGTCTCTGAGAGGTGAGAAACAATGTTTTATGTGCCATGTCATAATCTTTGAAGAATTCAAATAACTATGTTAGTCATCCAGTGATTGATTTGTTTGCTCTGCGTTATTGTCTTGACAGTAGTCAAATGCAAGCATGTAATTATAAGGGCAGTCTTTGATGTTAGGTGCTTGTAAGAGCCTATGCCCTATATATATGGTGTCAAAGAAAAAGATTTTTCCCATTTAAAATAAATTTGTCTGATTTGACTTAAGGAAATTTAAAGGGTTGTTTTAGAGAAGTTATTCAATTTGCATTTATTTCATCTTCAGACTATCTAGTGATTACTCAATTATAGAATATTTTCAGACTCAATGGCACCCCTGCTTGTGAATTTTTACTTTGTTTAGAAAGCAACAAACTTGATATATACTTTTCTTTCATCATTCCAGGAATCGTTCTGCTGTTCTTGAGTGTGGTGGATTGGAAACATTGAATAAGCTTCTGGAGCCATCTAGTGATATCATTGTCCAGAGAGATGTGACCAAAGCAATGGCCAACTTGGTGGTGGAATGTCCAAGGTGCTGGGTCCTCTCATACCAATATAGAATATGACCGCCATAATCATAGTTTCTTCACAGGAACCATGAATTTTTTGCAGTCCAATATTTTAATGTCAATCTAATCACCTAAGAGGAATGAGGCTACAGGTGTTATGGTAGCCTTTATCCGAAGAAGGTTACTTAATATACATGGAAATATTGGAGTACAAAAATGTTACAAAAAATAATGATAATAGTTGGGGTTTTTTTGTGATGAATCTATAATTATAGTACCAGTATCCATGCATTATTACAATATACTGACAGCTGATATTTTTGTATATGAAATGCCTTATGCAAAACAATGCTGCTGCTATGTTTTTGATATCTCAGTTTTGCATAAAATTAATGTAAAACTAAGATTATCTTTATTATTTGAAATTATTTTGAAATTTAAGGCACAGGAATGAACATATTGGGTTAAAAAATGAAAGATTATTCACCTCAGATTTACTAAAATTATATTTCAGAAATGCCAAGTCACTGATAGAACTTGGGGTGATACAGAAGCTAAAGGAAGTGGTGCTGATGTCCCAAGATGCTGACCTGCTAGAACACACCCTTGGAACCCTGAGTGGCATTGTTACCCACCCTGAGTAAGTTTTACATCTAGCTTTGTTCTTTGAAAGCCTGTTACATAAATGACACAGCAAAGGAGTGAAAAGGAAGAAGGTGCAATTTCGATTTGGTTCATAACCAACTGATTATACATGACATTTACCTCAAAAGATGTCGTATTAAAGCTGTTGATTTTAAGCTAATGAAATTGGTAAATGTTTAGATTTTTATAAAAAATTTGGCTGCATATGGATAAACTGTCAACAAGGCAATTTCATACCAAATATCATTTACAATATTCTGTTTTACAGCTGCAGACAAGCAGTGCAGGAACAAGGAGGGGTAGAAGCCATATGTAAGGGGTTGAGCTCCCTGGAGGAAGAAAAGGTTGGTCTCAACTAGCACACTGCTCTGTCACAACTAACACAATTGAACTATCACAAAGTTTTTCACCAAACTGATTTTCTTTATGATAATAAATAGGAAAAGATATATCTTAGCTGACACATAACTGTCAAAACCAACACAATTTTACTATCACACTGCAACCTGTCAGTTAGTCAGTTTTATCCACAAAGGAGGTGAAAGTAGGTCATGGCAGCATCAACTGACACAATGGAAATATCACACAGTTTGCCACCAAGTTATTGTCACACTTTATTGATTGCTCCGGCTATAACACTGTCATTCCTAGCAATCTGCAGAAATACCAGCCTGTGCCATTCCAAATATATGAAATGTTGATGAATTATAGTGTTTTTTCCTGTCTTTCTTCCAGGTGGTCGGACCAGCAATTAAGGCCCTCAGGTGCTTGGCATTTGACAATAAAAGAAACAAAGAAGTTATGATAGACCAGGGACTTGTACCAGTGCTGAAAAAGTAAGAAGTTTATGTTTTTCCTGTGTGTGCAGACACTATACCATCTCTTATTCAATCAGAAAGTGTGTAAGTTTTGAAAATGTGTTGAATTTGACAATTTGATAATTTGTTATATAGAATAATGTGTTTGCATAAAGATTGTGACTGCTTGAGAGTTGCGAGAGGCTGATGTTTAAGAGAGTATTTAAGTTCTGTTATTCTGTTGAATGTGTCATTGTGTTAATTTTGTCATGTTGAACATGTATCTGTGTTGGTTTTTGTCACTATTGTGAATGTGTCACTGTGTTAGTTGTGACATCACGAATAATTTTTTTAGGTTATACTTAAATAATTACATTCACATTCAAGGCTGTGTGACTCTACTGGTTTCCTCACCAATGTGACAAGAAGACATTGCAGAGACTTTCTCAATAAACTGACTGCCTTTCAAAGAGATGCAGTGGGCAAGAGCTGTGTAAATGGAACATCACATGTGGAATCACCAGAAAGGCAGCAACCAGTGAGACTTAAGTAAGTAATGCGTTAGGTTTAACACAATATTAACAGTACAATTTTATAGGGTATTGTTTATAGAATATAGAAAATTGCAGTGGGAAGACATTTTGTTTGTGGGGCAAAAGGTCATATAGAATGAAACTAAACAATATTGTCAATTTTGGGAGATCTAATATCTCTCTCCATCACAGAATTCTTCAAGACCGTATTTTTCTTGTTTGGCTTCATTATAATAATTCATGGAGAAATAATCATGTATAATTAATAGAAAATTTCTGGAACTAAAATGAAAGAAAAAGATAACTTGGAAAGTGTCACCCAACTAAAATATCAGTAAAAGAAAGCCAAACTTGAAAATTGTCACATAGCTTTAAAAAAGTAGACGAAATGAAGTATATTTTTGGAAATTGTCCCTTAGGCATCACTCGCCCCAAAAGCCCAAGCCTCAGAAGCTGCTCCTTACTCCTATTGTCAAAGGCCTTCCACCTCTGGAGACCACTGAGGAACATGTAGCTAAGTAAGTTTTCTTACAAACAAAACAATGTGGCAAAAATAGCCACATTACTGGTAGATTTAGTATATATCAATGAATTTTTATAAGTTTGAAAAATACAGTGATGTCATTAATTTTATTGTTTACTTATATAGTGCATTGGTCTCTCTCTCTCTAGTTGAAAAGGATAAAAGAAAAGTGATGAAGAGACAAAACATCATGCCTCTCGCAGTTTTTTTTATTTAAAAGCACATTTAAACTTTTTAGAAATGTTTTACTTTTCTACCATTTTTACACAAGGCACATTGGAATGAAAAAATCACTGTGTTTAAAAAATAAAAAAAAATATTTATCTTTTTAAAAATCTGTTCTCTTCCATTAAGTGTGAAGCCCCCAGTAAAGTGGTACCAGGACAGTAACCATGTGGTCTTGAAGATCCTGGTCAGAGGGGTGGAACAGAAAGTGGTCAACTTTGGGGACAGGACTGTGAGATTCAGGTGTGTAATAGGCAGATGGAGAGTTTTCTTGATTTATTTTTAAGGGACACTGTGCTGCAGTATGCAACATAGCCTCAGGTGATTGATGTATTAAATTGGAAAAAGGCAGATGAAAGAGTGGGACTTTCTTAAGTTAAAAGTGTCAAGACTAAGTCCAAAAAGATCAGTGGTAATTTTTGCAATTATATGAGATTTCTTTTCCATAACAAAAAGATTTCACACCTAATTTTGTAAATTTTGATTCAGACTTAGTCTAGTATTTTTAGTCCCTCCTGTCTGCTTGACTTAACTAAAAAGTTTGAGGGGGAGACTTGAAATACTTTTCATTTTAATGAAATGATTGTTAAATTAATTGTTAAAATAATTGTTACATGATCATTTGATTTATGAAAATTTTACTTTTTCAGTGCCACAGTTCTGGACACGTTTTATCACTTTGACCTGGAGCTCTATGAGAACATAGTGCAGTCCAAGTGTCTGGTGGATGTACGAGGAGGGGAGGTGTTGATCAGACTACACAAGGCTACGACTGGACGGTGGCCAAGGCTGCAGAAGCATAAGTCTAAAGTTAGTCACAAAAATGTCACACTTAGCATAGATATGATCTAAACCCTGATATCCTAAACTTAAATCAAAAGCTGTTTCAAAAAAGAAGATTAGAGTGAAAGTTTTTTTTTTACTGGTTTTAGTCTGATTTTTTCTCTCTAGTTGTACCAGAGTTAGGTAATTACCAATATTAGTCAGAAATATTGATTTCCCAATTTTAATGAAACAGAGGTATTTAATGGGACTACTCATGGCTAAATGTCTTAAGTTCTTCAGGACTCTGGGATTAATATTATACAATATCAGTGAATTATAGCCTTCATTTTGAGTCACATCATGTACCTAACACAGAAGATGATTGGATTGCCATGTCTTGAAATCATTTTATTAATGTATTGAACATTATATACTAGTACAGGCTAAATTGAGTTCAGAGATATCCAAAGTGTGTTTGGTTTTTCCAATTGTTATCCTCTTGAGGTATTTGTACCCACATTTTCTGAAGTAGAATTTTGGCGTACATATCTGTCATGGTTTTGTTTTCTAGCCTGCATACATATCTCTGGACTTTGAGAACTATGCTGGCAGTTCCTCTGAAGCAGAAATGGCCGATTCTGAAGATGAATCCCCATTCATTCCAAGGAGAAAGGGTAAGATTTTTTGCAGTCGTGTCTAGAGTATTAGTATTGTCTAGAGTAGAGCTGAATCTAAGAGTATTTTCACGAAAAATCTGTACAATAGTTTGTCTTATCTGCTCCGTTAGTATCATGCTTTAGATTTATAATTGCATAATGAAAAAAAGTTACTTCATTTTTACACACATCCCTACAATGTTTTTCTGCAAAATTGATACCACTATAAATGCACTATGTGGGACTCTAGGTCCATTTGCAATAAACATTTTTTATCATAACAAAAACCTTGCAATTCTAGCCAAGAACCCATTCCGCGAGAGTTCCGACCCTCCAGTGCCCCACCTGGTGGAGGGTGTGCCTCCTGACCTTGAACCCTGGTCATCAGAGTCGACCAATGAAGAAGACGAGGAGGAGGAGGAGTCTCAGGGAGACAGACCTCAACGTCACCCAGAGTACTTTGATTTATAAGATGGTCAGCCATTTTGTTACAGATTTGAATGGTTCTTTTTGGTCTAAACCAAATCCATTATTAAAGCATGATGTCCTAGATGCGTTTACCAAAGCAACAAACAAGACTTAAAAACACAGACCCAGATTTGGGCAGCCGTCTTGTTATGAATCAGAATGGCGCCATTTCTTTAAGTTTTTTTTTTTTTTTTTTTTTTGGCAGGGAAGAGTTTTATAGTTTTTTTAACGTTGCAGAATTATCTTATGAATCTTAATTTTTAATGGCATTGTAGTTCAGTCATTTCATCAGTTCACATAAACTCAAATCAGAAAGCTATAGAATAGAATGGCCTGAAATTAAGAGAAATGTGCTTAAACTTTGAATAATACTTGTAATTTTCTACAGCAAAATTATGTAAATGCTTACGCAAATATGTGTTAATGGAATGCATTTTTATTTTATGTACTTAGTCAGAGAAGTGCTGTAGTGTGTAGATATGTTCAGTATTTTATTTAATAACATTACTTTGCACAAGTCACAAATTGTACATTGAAAGAAATTCAGGGTATAAAAAGCTTGTGATAATTGTGATAATATTTTTTTTACTTTTGGCAATAAAACGGTTATGCATATCCACTGAGTCAGTGTCTTCAAATTGGGGAAACTTATTTATTTCTATAGCTTGATGTTATAATCATGATCATGATTTTGTATTTAATTTATTCATAATTATTAATAATATTACAGGACATTTCACAGATGAAAGCTTTTAACTTAAGACATCTGTCACATTCCCAATTGACTGCAAAATTTTGAAAGATCTATTAAATTTACCATTACATTCCACATAATAATGTTTAACAAGCATATTCAGTACTTGGCATGAATCAAACACCATACAAACATTTACTGACAATCATACATTAAACATTGCATGTTTTTACGTAATTAAAGTATCTAAACTGGGCAACATATTTCTCAGTTCCTCCACAAAATCGTCTTGTTCACAAAGAGGATTGCCCATGATGTTCAGCTTCTTAAGTTTCGAACACAAGGTCAAAGGCCGCAGTCCTTCCATGGTTGAGATGGCTGGAAGCAAGTTAAGGAACAGAAACTTATGTTTTTTTTTTTTTAATTCTTGGGTCCATTTCAGAAACAATCGCAACAAAAAGTTGATGTTACCTTCAAGACCAAACATTTCGTGTATTCCAATACAAAAATATTAGCAACAGTCTGCTAAAATAAAATGGGTCTAAAGCATGAGCATGAGCCATTTCTTTATATCACAATGGATTTATATTTCAGTTAATAAGTGGATAAGTACCAATTTATTTACGGTCAAAGTAGCCTAAAGTTTAAGTCTGTAAGTTCAGTTTGCTTTGTGGAATCAATTCTAGTCTGCTTAGAGGACATAAAAAAAAATAGTACTAAACAAATTCCCCAAGTCACACGTGTAACTGTACTTGGGGAATATTGTTGCTGCATGTATTTCTCAGCTATCACTTCCCCAATTTCTTGATGCCATAAAGTGTCACTCTCAATATCTTCTGTATAATTATGTAAACCTAGGCTTAATATGCACAGCCCATACAGGCAAACTGTCACTATATTTACCATAGGATACCAAATATTAGACCTCAATAAAAGCACACTTCACCCCACTTCACCCCATCCCTTTCCAAGACACTTTCTATACTGTATTATCATTTTTTTATTAAAAGGATACAATTATCTGTAAGAGACAGATCCTCCAGCAGAGGGAGGCACTCCATTTTCTCACAACTCTTCAGTTGGTTTCCTTTTAGTTCCAGCTCCTTAACACACTGAAAGCTCTCACAGCCAGGGAGGCTGGAAAGTTTGTTATTTGACAGGTCTATACGCTCTGCTGTACACATGTACTCTGTGTGACGGAGGGTAGTTAATTCTCTGTTAGATAAGTCTACTGATTTGGCTGACAGGCCTTGTTCTTCTATAGCATTCTCTATGAGAAATTTACTCCCTGAAAATCAAAATGTATTAAGTATTATGGTCAGATTTTCAATAAATTAAAAGTTGATTAAGTTTCAAACTAGTTTTAATCTGCATTAAAAACGTATGTCTTGTAAATATAAAAAGGTGTAAAATATAGTTTGAATCCTATTCTTTGAAAAGATCAAAAATTAACTAGTCAAAAAAGATGCAACAAAATATGCATCTTCTAAGTCTTACAGGAAGTGCAGAATCAAATCAAGTTTGAATCCATAATCCCTACTTAATTAAAAAAAAAAAACCTTGTTCTTATTTTACTTACTAAGATCCTTATAATAGTTGGTCCTACAAGGATCTACTTTGATAATGGTGTCTATGTGTTCCAGGGTTTCCTTCAAGTACTTGAGTGGATCTATGGCTCTCATTAACAGCATAATGGTGAGGAGGACCCCTGTGATAAAACAAAGGACTGGTGAACCAACTCTCAAAATAAATTGTGGTGGTTGCTCTGACATACTTTACTCTTGGAATCAGTTATTGACTAGAAATAACTCTGAATATTGGTGTATGCTGATTTTAAAATGTCAATCAACTGGGACATTAAACTTTGTGCCACAAAACAGGCTAAAATGGATCAAGTGAGTGATCTGTTTAATATGTATTTTACGGCATTAAATTTTATAAGATAAAAAACCCTACTTACATTTATTGTCTGGTTCTAACTCATAAAGTTGTTGACAAGCATCAAGTTCTTGTGTAAGAGTATCACTTGTGGCAGCACTTAGTTGATAGCTGGAAAGATAACATTCACTGACATCATAAAGCTGAATAAAACAAGATATTTTCTGATCATACAAGTTCATGTATCATAAAACTTATGTCTTCCAAACACCTGTGGTATTCAGAAAACACATCTACATATTCATCACGATCATGTCATTGAGAAGGAAGCAAAATATTTTTGCTCAATTTAGCTATTATTGACCGACTGGAAAAACAAAATTTATAGTTGATGTTGTAACAGATTTAAAAAAAAAGAACTAGAATATAAAATTATTTCATAATGGCAACTGAGTAAGCACTTTTCACTCAAAGCTGATTATTTTATCACCTTCATAATTTTGTATTACCAGTAATATAGGACATTTAACAGATGGAACCTTAAAATATATCTATCACCCTAAAATCTTATTAAAAAACAAGCACTTCCTCTCCACACCTAAACAGAGTTCCTGGTTTGACTTCATCCACACTGCTAGCCTTCTCATCTCCGTCCTTCAGTGTGCAAGACCTAGAGCTTCCCTCCATAGCTACCATAACTTTATGCTCATTACCATCCAAGGGTGCAGTGAGATTAAAGAGCTAAATGTCAAAGAATATATTTCATGGCCAAGGTAAATTTCACCAGTGCTCTAAACAAATGTTTTTAGGTGTATGCAAATGGGAATCATCTGAGCAAGGCCTATAAAAAGGCCTACGGCTCTCTGTTGCAGCACAGAAGACCAGAAAATGTGTGAGAATCTGTGAGAGCTAGGGTTAACTTCTCAGCCATGTAGGTAAAACCCATAGGGAGTGTTATAAAATGACATGCAAGGTGAATTTGAGAGAAAACAATTAGAAAAGTATCTGTGGTAACTTTTCTCAGCTTTTATTTGTGCTGCACTGCACTAACTTCTCTAACATATTGAAATTTCATTTATGGTGAGTGGTGAGGCTTTGGGACAGCTTGGATGATTCCATTTAGAAACCTTCAGTTTTGATGCTTGCCAGCTTAAACCATAAATAAAAAACATATTTCAACATTAACCACAGAGACCATGACATCTACCAAAAATTACAATTTAGAACAGCAGGATATGAAAGCCACATAAACACTGCACACTCAGGGTAGTAATAATTGTCAACAAGGATACCCATAGCAGAGAGTGGTCATTAGAGTTAGCTGGTGTGGTCCACTCTCCTGTACACTGGACACCATCTAGGGACACCTGCAGGGAGAGGTCAGCTCCTATCTAATATACAAGGTAAACAAAGCAAACGTTAAACATTTAAGAAATATGTGATATTCATGCTATTTTCTTTCAAAATTTGAAATAAATAAAAGTTTATGAGCAAACACAATCCTTTCAAAAGTCCCAGTGATAATGAAATTTAATTAATCTTATAAAGATTTCAAAAAAAAAAAAAATTCAAAATATAATAATTCATAAAAACATTTATTGGAGATAAAAACAAAGTACAGATCAATGCACCACCAAAATTCAGTTTCACTAAAGTAGCGTTCTGTATGTGGAATCTTAACTTGGTTTAAGAATGTGCAAATGACAAGTTTTCCTGTAATCTTTCAAACATTTCCCAAACAAACACTAAGCCATGTGAGCAGTTATGTGCACTTATTACCTCTTACACTTTTCTCGAGAGTAGTAACTTTATCATTTGAAAAGCATGTAATGTGCTTTTAAGAAAAGAAAGAATAAGCTACTTTTTCAAAAGAAGTTGAAAGATACAAAAAGCTGTCCCTTTATTCTAAACAGATTGCTTTAACTAAAATAAACCACACTCAGAGATTACTTCTCACCTTTGCTGGTTTAGAAAGTCTGACCATAACTCTTCTTAGTTCTCTTGATACATACACACAGTCAATGGCAAGCTGCTTTTCAGCTGTGGAAATTGAAGGACACATAATTATTCAATAAAACAACCAAAAAATGAAAATCATAAAAGCAACCATTGACAACATCATATGAGAGTCTTTAAAAGGATATTTTGAAAGGAGTAATACAATGCATGACCTATATCCTGTATTAAACTGGTGTGAATTTTAAGACTATCCAATCTGACATGACACTCACCTCTGCCCAATAGCCATCTATGATAGAACCAAGCACTTTGGTCATTGGGGTCTGTGAAGAAGGCATTCTGGGCAAGTTCAAACTCTAGAAAGAGTGTATGGCTTGTTTTGTCAATAACAGGATATGATAATATTAAAATTAGGATATGATCATAATATAAATAACAGGATTTGATAATATGAAATGAAATCGAATAAACTGACATTGTGTTAGGTATGAACTAGAAAAGACAAGTACTGTATAAGGTGAGGTATGGAAAAGACAATTGTTATGTATGATATAATTAATTGGTACTGCATTAGGCATAGCACTGAAAAAAATTCTAGTGTTATTTGTGAAATGGAGAAGACAGATTGTGTTAGGTGTGTTATGGAGAAGACCGACATTGTATCAGCTTGTGTTAAGTGCAGTAGTAATACTGATATTGTGTTACATTGTGATAGGTGTGACAGTGAAAAGACAAACAATGCGCCAGGTGCAACTTACCTTTAATAAGTACATCATCCTTCACACCTCCAGGGTGTTTTGGGTCTGGGTGTATGAGAGGCAGCAGCTTACTTCTGTAGTGCCAGGAGGAATAGTTGGAGAAATTGCTGCTGATTTTGGATGTTGTGAACTCAAACTCTGCCTCTGGAGTCACCTGTGCTCTCTTCACTACAAACCTTCTGTAGTCCCAGCAGTGGACTGGAAGTTAAATAGATTTTTTAAAGAAAGAATTGTTTTTATTTCAATCAAACTTCAGATACTGCAAAGTTAATTTCAATTAAAAGTCACATGAAGCAAAATATTTCAAATCAGTTTTAATTATTAAAAAAAAAAAAAAACAAGAAAAACATGCTCATCTTGTGAATGCATACATTCTCATGTTCATGCTTTGATTCAATATTATTTGTACTGAATCTTTTTTAAATGTTCATTTATTGTCTAACCCATTACTCAAACATTTCTCACAACATAGTCTTTGCTCAATAAATATTCTGAGTGGAAGTTGTATTTTAGTTTTTGTGTGTTGATTAAAAATGAAATATTTTTAAATGAACAATTTCTAATTAATAAATAATAATCATATAAACAAATTAATAAAATAATGAATAATTTCCCGGCAAGCTTTGCTTATATGATAGTATCAGGCCTTACAGTTTCTCTCATCATATTCCAGATATTTATTACACAGCATCAGCTCCCTGTCCCAGTCAGGGCATGGCATGGTCAGCATCACAAAACACCTGTGTTCCCAGCAACCATACGACTTGGGATTTCCCTTCAAACATGCCTCCAGGAAGCTTAGCTCATCTTCAAAAAGCTTATGAAGCTCGTCTTCTGTGCTGAAATGACATATCAGTAACAACAATTTATAAAATCCAAATTTTCGCTTCTATGATTTTTCACTAGTGTAAGATTTGTTTTTCAGCATAATAACTGTTATATATTGATTAATTCATTTAAAAACTAAAATAAAGAAAGAAAACTATTTCTATCGCTTCACCCATTGCTGCTGGTATATAATCTTACCCTTTGAGGATTATATCATTCAGTTCTCCTATCCAAAGCATTATACTAATTTTTAGAGGCACCAGTTGGTCTGAAAAACTGTTGTTGCCCGCATTGGTGAACTTTGATTTGAAAGACCTAAGCTACTCTACCTGGGGCACTATACAGGTAGAAGAGAAGACGAAAGAAACCAGCCGATTTCAAAACTGATGCAAACCTTCTTAGAACTTTCACCTTCTAACTTCCATACTGTCTGCATGTGGTGTTTCAACTTCAACAGTATCTGATTGAATTTTACCATGTCAATTGCAAATAATAGATGTAAGTTACATCATGTATCCTTTTACAGAACCACGAAACCTGGATGATGATTTTGTACCTGGGCCTGACACGTTTAACTTCAGTCAAACTTGCTGCAGAATTTCAGAGCATATGAAACTTGTGCACATATTCACTCAAGTTGAGGTGTGAAAATAAAGAAGCTGCCAAGAAAACTGAAGCTCAAAGAAAGAGAAAGAAAGAAACAAACACCCTACCTCTTCTCCTTGAATGCAAGGAAGATTTCTTTTCTGTAGTTCCACAACGTGTAAAAGTCAGAGTTTGCACTCAGTATCTGTGCTGTCAGCTCCAAGGCTTCCTGGTCATACTCCTGCCCTTGTCTCTGTGGAAATCAATTTTTTAAATACCATATAAAAATATATTTAGTAAACCTTTTAAGTGAAATGATAATTTTACATTCACTAGCTGAAAACATACTTACTACCGGATGGCAACATGAGAATGAAAAAGAGAGTACCTGTCGCAGTTTCTAGATAATAAATGCCAGTGTGAAAATCGATCAATATTGCCATATTACCAATCATCTTATAAGATATATTCATTTTATTCTACCAACCATATCTTTGAATTAATGTGCTTATACTTGTATCACCGACCTAGAAATTAATATTACAATGTATAAGTACATGTATATAATGGCTTATGTTTATTAATTATCATACAGTAAGTTTGAAATTTGACGTTTTACTTTCTGGAATATCTTTGATGTAGCTGCATTATAGAGCTTCATTTTCTTCTCCCTTTCCTTCCGCTTTGCCTCCTGCTGTTCTGCAGTGGTCTTAACCTTCAGTCTACCGTGCTGAAAGTAAATAATCATTCAAAATACTAAAATGATACACCCACGAATTAATGAATGACTAACATAATGTCATTGATCGCTACTCTGTGCGGATACACACTATCAAACGCTTAGTTTCCAATGCTAAACCTCTACAATCTTTCGAGAAATGTACGATAGTAAAGTTATGATTCTAATTCTTTTGTCATAAACGATAAAATGCTTCTAGAGTAATTAAAACATTGCAAACCATAGTTGATATGTCTAGCTTCCCCTTCTTTCTTCCTCCCTTCCTTTCCTGCAACTTGTTTTCAGCTCTTCGGGCGATAAAGAGTCTTCACTGAGCATGCGTACATTAGTCATCCATCATGGAGGAAGAGGGAGTCGAAAATCTATCTCCACAAGAAACTTTATCAGCAAAACACAAAAAGGAAGCAAAAGAACTCCAAGGTAAGTATTTGACAAACCGTTCTATATACATTGGATGCTTTGGAAGTTGTAAAATACCTGGGAACGTTGGCTTTCAAATAGTTTTGTTTATTTAATGGGGTCTCAAAACGTAAACAAAACCACATGGCACATCAGGGCGCACCGGTAAATATAGCATCGTGTGCTGTCATGCAAAAATTATATCAAAATGTAAACAGAAAATAGTCTGTCGTGTCTGATTATCTAGGTAACAGAGTGTAGAAAGTAATTGCGTTGTACCTTGATATATTTAGCTCAAATTCAAAAATTGAAGCACAGTGTACCAAAGGGGGACAAGAAGAAGAAGAAAGACGTAGCTGCACAGATTGCCATTCTTGAAGCAGAACTCGAACAGAAGCACGAAAAAGAAAGACAAGAATTGAACGACACAAGTGCCAAAGGGGTGTGTATCTATGACAACAAATTATTAAAATTTAAATACTATAATTTATCATTTCAAGCTCTTATAAAAGTTTGCCACCTCCAAAAAAAAAAAAAAACTTGTATTCCAAATTAGCTTCTGTAAGTTGTTGTTATGCTTGTTGAGAATGGCTATTTGTTAACACAAAGATTAATGCTCTGACTTAAAACTTGATAAGAAAAAAGAGATCAGTTTCTTAAAGATAGACTGCTAAATTTCAGCAGGAATTTGTGAGATGAAAATGCATTTCAGTTACAATTATATGATTGAGATGTGGATTTTGTATTGTTTATATGTTTGTTAGGTTGATGAAACAGCAGAGCAACTAGAAAACCTATCAACATCAGTTACACAGAATGCATCACAGCCAAAGAAGCCAAGCAAAGCACAGAAAAGAAAGGTTAACCATGATTTTGAGAGTTCAGTTTTCATAGATTAAAAAACATTGATGTTGATTATTGCATCATAAATCTTTCATTCTTGGGAAGAATATTTGCATTATAATAAAATTACATTCTTTATTTTTTCATTTGTTTTAAAAAGAATGTTTGTTACTTTGGAAAATATAGGAGAAAAAAGCACAGCAAGAAAAAGAGAGGGAGGAAAGGATACGAGAACAAGATATTGAAAATCTGAGTGGAGTCAGGCATTTGGAAGCTCAGAAAATGAAGTCAATTCTAGGCAAAAGGAAATTAAAGATTTTTGAGGTATATAATTGTGTAATAGTATGTATAAACTTAAGACAATTTTACAATGTACAATTGATGTCACATGTTATGAAATATCTTTGATGCAGTTCATTTTTGAAAAATTGTTTTTGGTAACAGATATTAACAACTTTTTTCTTAATTGAATTTATGAGGTTGCTTTCTTTTAATTTTCATGTCCAATAGTACATAATTTTTTCATATCTCATTTCAGATTCCATCAGATGGAAATTGGTACGTTTTCCCAATATTTTGCACTGCTTCAAAGATGGTTGTAAACGTTTTGTAGCAAAATCCAAAATAGAATATTAGATTTTCTTTATCTAAAGTCATACATGTTATAATTATAGCTGTTGATATAGGTTACAATTTTCAGATATGTGCTTTTTTCAGTCTGTACTGTGCAGTAGAGGATCAGCTGAAGAGAAAAGGAATAGAGGCAAGTAAAATGAACACATACCATTTATTTTAAAGCAGAATTGCTGAACTGCTATTAATTTTTATGCACTGCTATGTTGAACTACAGAAAAGGAAATTCAGCTTCCATAAAGCATTAAATAATGTATTGCAAGATGATAATAATAATAAGTATAATATATTTGACTTAGAACTCTGAAAATAATTTGTAGATCTATTATTATTGTGGTAACAATTTTGGATATAGTATATATTTTTGCTTAAATAAAAAACTTTGAAATTTCCAGGAAAATCAAATTTCTAACACTCATTGTTGCCTTTAACTCTTGTAATAAATGTCATATTATTATGTGTAACTTTCAGAGTAGTATGCAGCAACTAAGACAGAAGGCTTCAAACCATATGAGGGAGCACAGGGATGACTTCATGCCATTTTTAACAAAGCCTGAGAGTGGGGACCCTTTTACTGAAGGTAATAAATAGTGAATATTGTTCTTCATTGAATAGAAAACAGCTGAGAATCTTGAATGATTTAAAGTAAAAATTCTTTAAGCAACAGCTAAACTCAGAAAGGGGGGAGGGCAGGGTGCTACTCCAATATTTCATAGACTAACAAGACCATTATCAGTGATTTGGTGTTGTTACAATTCTGTGTTAGCTGTTGTTTAAAGAAAATGACCCTGTAACTTTGAATGCATAACACAAGCAATGGAATTTTTGTCTGAAATGTGAAACCTGGGTCATCGGGAAATTTGTAAGTTTCTTGTTTGAATTTTTTCAGACGACTTTGACAACTATTGTAAGGAACTTGAATCCACAGCCGCATGGGGTGGCCAGTTAGAGGTAAATTATGTTGTGGAATTGATTGATATTTGTTGCATATTTTAATTTTATATATATATGAGGAATCCACTGTTGGACATCATTATTTTTTATAAAATTTTGGTCATGATGTAAAACAGAGAGAACAATATTATTAAGTGATAAATTCATTTTTTTGTTTGTTCATTTACTTTTGGCTATATTATTGTCATAATTTCCAGGTTCGTGCTTTGTCTAATGTGCTCAAACACCCCATAGAAATCATCCAAGCTGAAGGACCTCCTATGTTGATAGGAGACGAGTATAAGGATGATGCGTTGCTGTTATCGTGAGTGTTCTGTACTAAGTATAATCCTAATTAAAAAGAAAGGCAGATCAAAAAGGAATTTTGCTTTTTATCACTAGTTATGGTTTGTCTTTTTCACTGCTAATATCATAATACTTATTCTCTGTCTTGTAATCAGTGTGAACAATTCCAAGTCGTGCACATCAATCTCACCTTTGTGAACAATAAACTGTATAAGAACACCTACCAGTTAAACTAAACTCACTCTGTGGCCCGTTTATTTTGATGGTGCCAAGTTAGGCCATGTTATGAAATTTCCCTAGGTGAATGGTCTTAATAATTACATTTTACAAAACATGCAGAGTTTCTTAACTTAATGGAAGAGGTTAAAGTTTTTGACCATTTTTGTCAGGTATTTTGAAACATTAAAGTTTTTGCTTACATTAATTAAAACACTAAAAGTATCGCTGTTTTAGATTTGCTTTTGTTTTGATATTATATTTTGCATTCTGTTTTCCAGATACCACCGCCATGTGTATGGTCTTGGAGAACATTACAACTCTGTTATCCCATATACTGAAAGTGATGAAGAAGAGGAGCTCAGCTAGTATTGGACAATGGTTTAATATTCTTATTGGATGAGAATTTTATTTAAGAAATTGACTGTCAAGGATTTATGCTAAAACCTTACCTTTAATGGACATTTTGAACCCTGGAGCCCAACAGTTTATACATTCTAGAAAGAGAGAGATGGTGATAATGATGACAGCTTTTCCTAGTCCAGCTGGGTAAGAGTTGAAAAACCAACAACTAACTGATGAGTTTTGATACATATATTTTGTGTCAATTTCTTGATACTTACATTGGTAGAAGAAATGTCACAGTACCAGGTAGTGTGTTAGGTGTGCTACAGTTAGCGCAATCGCATCACATCTACATCTTGAGGCTACCCCATACTGGCAACCGTTTTAAGTAATAACATTGCCATTTTTAGGTGGAAAATATTAAAAATGTTTGACAATGCGTATTTCTATGTCTGGAAGATGATAGAATTACTCTTGCTGCAAACTGACCACTGTTCAGCCATTATTTTAATAATGGATTTGTTAAAATGCAAAATACAACTTCTTACTCAAATATTTCTTTAAGTAAAGTTTTCTTCATTTTATTATTTTCCTCGACTCGATGAAGGCGATTTGCCACTGTGACGATCGTTGCCTTTTTGTCTTTGTGAAATAGTCACAATATTTTAGCCACTTCCAAAATAAATTGATGCAAGTTATTTTGGCAACGCAAGCTTTCTATATGTCCAAATTTGCTAATACACTATCTACACGTTAATTGTTATAGCTAAATGTCCAACTGTACATTTCCAAATCTACACTTCTCATGGCGTATTCTATACTGAAAAACGATAAAACTAACTTACCAATGCTTTGTACAGATAATAGCTAAGCCGTACAATTGTAAACTTGGACAGACTATCTTGACTTTAAGACGAAAATCCATCTGCGTTTACCAATTTGAAAGGTAGATTAATGGTAATCCTCTTAAATAAAATATTCTTGCTGCTTTATAAAAAGGAAAAGAAATGGTATTAAAATTTTCTATCAAAAGTTACTTTGTTCAACAGACAAGGATATAGCATGGGCTATAGTGTGCCATTATTTTCGCCCTAAAAGTTGAAATCATCTTTCGTGTTGAAGTTTTCTAGAAGCTGCAGGCTCCCAAGCCTCTTGTTAGTACACACCTCACGCGACACACATTAATAGTATAGAATAGACGTGTCTATGTACATTTGTTATCCTTTTCGCCTTTGGATTATTACACCCTATATAACGTACTCTTGTTTTTTCATATGTCACCGCTAATATATCCATATTAATAGTATTAATTATTAATACATGAACAATGATATACTATGATATACTACAACAAACGGTACATCAAAGGACGCGCGTAATACGTTGGACGTAAGCGGTCACATGGAACGGATCTTTGATAGATTACATATCTGTGTTAATATATTTTGAAAACAAAATACATTGTTAATATATTGATTACAGCTTTTTACAATAATATACGTAGGTTACAACTTCCATGTACAGGTATCCTTTGCAGAAAACGGTTTGATTTCGACTAAGTTGTTAATTTAATTATGTGCATAAAATATATTAAATGATTGTAAAATTTGCTGGTAGACTGCCTGGATCAGCTCCCGGAAATGATTTATTTTGCTCATTTGTACAAAAAAATAGTGAGATTACTTCTACTAAGAAGGAGTTCTTCAGAATTAAAGTAACCCTGTTTTTCATTGTGTAATCCCCGCAGATAAAAGTCATTACAACTGCTCCAGGTTTGAAACGCACGTGGATACGCCTGGAATGGCGCTGGGGTGCTGCACATCATTATTTTGGTTAAAGACCAGTGGTCCCGTAAACGTTGACTTGGGAACGCTTTATTATAGAATATGTACAAATGCATTCCACTCGTGTCCGGCAATGTTTAGAAATGGTGTGACCGCTGGATATCAGTGTCTCTCTTCCTTTTTGCCCTCTCAAATTGACACCCAGTGTCGCAGCTGAATGGAAATAATGTTATTTAAGTCATGTAAGATTATTATGATGCCACATGCAGTAATTCCTTTGTAAATTGTTTATACTCTTTAAGGCTTTATTCCGAAGATGAAACACTTAAACACTTACATATTTTTCGCATTGCACGTATATTTTCTAGTTTGCTGTTGCTCTGGATTATAGTCAGTGCTTAAAACCCACCTCTCTTAAAAAAATCCAATCTAAAATACTTACCGTAAAACGTTTCACAGGTTTTCCTGCTTTGATATCTGCGTGTTCAGATTCTGGTGAAATACACAGAGCTAGCCTCTGAAACGGGATTTAGATTTCAAATTCTGATTTCCCGCGACAAAAATGCTGGATTATATTAGCATCACTAAGCTTCTCAGGTTTTGTGTAATTGTTTCTTATTTGAGTACGGTCACGTCAGTTAAATAAGACACGTACGGTTAACGCTAGCCGGCATGATAAAGATAAGGTAAACGTAAGTACCAACCGCGATCCCTTACTTAAATTTGTAAGTAAATTAATTAAATCATTTCTCTCCTTTATAGTGTTGCACATCTTTAAAATCTTTCTGATCTGCAATCAGAAGTGTTGCCCGCGAAGATCCCTTACCCTTTTAAACGTCCCCTTCGTAACCAGCATCTTCCACACGGCCACCACTGGAACCAATATCATGGAACTGCCGGCTATACACCAGCCCACGGCGTTAGCCCAGTCCGGGTACGGGTAGGGGCCGTGGGTGGCCGTCTCCACCACTATAGGTCTGTACGTGATGATCGAAGATACCACGATTACCTGTAATACATAGACAGATGAAATAAATGCCTGCTGAATACATGGCTCAAAGAAGGAAATGTAAATACGCACCATTTCTCGGTATGTTAATGTCGTACCATTTGCAGGGCAGGGGCACATGTAAGTTAATGTAAGTGCCTTGAATTTCAGGGTGAGCTGCACGTTCCACGACAAAATTCAAATTCAAATTTAAAAAAATTGTAAAGGATCATCGTGCACTTTTTTTTTTACTTCGGATCACGTTATTTACGACATGGGATTTCTTAAGAAATTGCACTTTTTACCTCAAATACACTACTAAAACCATACTTTTACTTCGTAACTGTTCACGAAGAACTTACTCTCTTTTATTAAGAAAACGCCCTTACCAGTACAAAGATGGGGCTGATAAACTTCCAGCATATTCTCCAGTAGATCCCCGGAGTGAATCCAAGCATTTTCTTCACGTCCTTGCAGAACTGGTCTATTCCTGAAACATTTAAATACATTTTGAATATGCTGGAATTAAAATGCACGAGAAAGATGAAAAAATATTGTTAATTCGCTTATAATAAACATGTATATATCCTCGAAGTAAGAGAATAAATCTATTCGATTTTTAGATCCACTTTTTTCTTTTCGTATTTGCAATAGATTCATGCCATCTGGTGACGCAAGTAAGTACGGTATTGGTGCTCCCTTGGCACGGCACAGGTGCATAAATCATAGGTAGGGCATAGAAATATACATAATGGTGTGGCATAAATGGGCTACAAGAACGACATAGGCACACTCTAAATGTGCCCAAGGTACAGTTTTTACAATAAAATTTCGTCAAATGTCCACCTAAGATGTGATGTCCTAAGTACATTGTTCATCATAGCTTTGGAACGGGAACATTCAAGGCATGACATAGGTGCCCGAGGAATTCCATTCATGAGCTGTACTAATATCACATTAAGTGCTGATCAAAGAATCCTAGGGCTCCAACGCCCTTTTTCATAAAACGTTCCCGGGGCTCGCCACAGCAATTGGCATTTAGGCTAACGTCGGTTCAAGACATTATTTACGGACGAATGGCCGCATAGAAAGATCTATAAATTTAATTTCTTTCGTTCTTTAGATTAATGAATTATTCCAGGGTGAAATGTAATTAAAAGGGTATCTAGCAGAGGCATTACCCCAACGCAAGAGTTTTGGGTATTGCGCATTAACTGCTCCATCGCATGCACTGTGTTTGTTTTAATCAATTTCCACGTCTAGACCATAATTAAAAAAGGCAATAGAAAAGCATATTAGGCAAAATATTAGTGTCCTGGAAGTGATTTCAAGTCTGGACGTTTCGTCACTCTTTGTTAAATAGTCTACAGTTCAAATGGCATTTGCATTCAATAACTTTTTGTGCAAATATTTGTGTTAAAATAGCATGTTGGACGAGTCTAGCTTCGTGATTAATATTATAGGACACGTAAGGAAATTGATAATTCAATTTTAAATGCACTGAATAAGAACTGATATGTCTTATCGTACCATAAAACCATGCCACAGCCACAGCTTCTGTGAAGACGGCAAACAGCAGCGAGGTGCCAGCAGAGAATTGTTCCAGCAAGGTAAAGGGATACATGCCGCCCTGGAAGAATAAGCAATAGAATAAGTTTTTAAGAAGTAATTTACGTCAAATAAATGAAAAAATATATATCTTACCAGTTTAAATACGAATATGGGTGTAAAATCAGTCACTTTGTTTGAGGATTTTTTCTTAATTTTGAAGTAGAATTTAGCTTTGCTACTCGAGCAAGAAGGGCTACAAACGGAATTGGTTTTAAGACCTAAAGCCAAAAAAAAAAAAAAAAAAAAAAACAGAAAAAGGCAATACAAGGCAGTTTAAGTTCTATTAATTTTGTTCTTAAATCCTTAAACCTAAACCACAACTTAAACAAAGTCACTTTCATGCCACTATTTAAAGCCATATATTCTTTTAAAATATAAGACTCATATAAATTTTAATTCATATGAATTAAAACTATGAATTAAAATCCACATACATATGCTGCTCTCCTACTTACGTAAGTTATATTAATTAAGGCAATGCCGAATGCGAAAAATATAATGACGAAGGTAAAAAATTCCCGGCCGTATTTAAACTTGCTGAAGAAATGCCTGTAGTAGTCTTTCACTCCTGTCAATACAGATTCCATGCCGCCCATCTGAAACAGAGACAAGCGGGAATAAATAAACAGGTGCTTTCATGCTTGAATTAATATCTTTTTTATCTTTGAAGTAAATAAATCTCCATCCCACTCTTTAAAAATTAAACATGATAATAATAGTTATTACCTCCGCCAAGGAGGTTATGTTTTCACCCCTGTTTGTCTTTCTGTCTTTCTGTTTGTCATCAACATAACTCAAAAAGTTATGGATGAATTTCAATGGAATTTTCAGGGTAGGCCATAAATGGGTTAACTTAGAAGTGATTAGTTTTTGGTGGTGATCCGGATCAATAACCAATCAATAATCAATCAATAATAATAAAAAATTTAGGGATGAAACGGCATTGGGTGGAGACTTTACTGCCTTGGCGGAGTTCTGCGCTCTCGGAGTGCTTTTCTAGTTCATATTTGGATTTCGAAGGTTTCCATTTCACCATTCAAGTTAACTTTTTCACTTTTGCTCTTTTTCTCTTCTTTTCATAATATATTTTCTTATTCTTTCATTTTTTTTATCATCTGTCTCATTCCTATAGAAATTTACATTTTCAAACGGGAATGATCTGGTTTCCATATGAAAACAAAAGATAACTTATAAATCATCCAAAAACATAAACTAGTAGGCCTAAACGTACTGCACTGTCCAGTCCCAGTGCCATCAACATAAGGAAGAATATAATGGACCAGCCTGTGGACCCGGGGAGAGTGGCAATGGCTTCTGGGTACACTATGAACACTAATCCTGGACCTGAAACAAACAGCGAAAAAGTTTGAATAAGATTATAATTTTGAAAGAATTTCTTGTTGGTTTTGTCAGTATCCTCCAGATGAATATTATGTATTTTCCTCAATATTCGTGGCTCCATCTTCATAGAAAATTGCATCTTTTTGCAAGTATGTAAAATGGTTTTGTGTCTCAATTATGTTACCCCTTTTTGCCTGAACTTTTAGCCATGTAACCAAGGTAACTGAAGGTAACACCTGGAACCACATGTAACCATGGTAACTGAGGGTACCACCTGTAACCACATGTAACCATGGTAACTTACCGTCCACTGCTACCTTTTCTATATCTGTATTCTTCTTGAATGCCATGTATCCAAGGTAACTGAACACAACAAACCCGGAGAAGATACTCGTAAAACTGTTTACACCTGCGGTTATGAGACAGTCTCTGAAAATGGAGAAATATATATTTACTATATTTAAGCTAAACACATTCATCAGTTATAGTTATAACGTGCACCGTTCCATTATTTTTAATAATTATTTAAAATAATATCACAAGTTCAGGGCGTTCTGGATTTGTATGTTAATTGAGGGGTTTATTAACAGCTGTACATGGATATAAATTTGTCAAAGTTGAACTTGATTTGAAACTTCCGTTGAGAGATAGTTTTCCTTTTTAACAGAATTTAGAAGAAGGTGCAGTTATAACACCCTGAGTGTAAGATGTCCCTAAAACTCCGTCTTTCTGCTATCTGCATGACGATACGGAGCCTTTGAAAGTTAGGGTGCACAATATATGTAGAATCAAAAACTAGAATCAAAATACAGTTAAAACAATCTAGACTCACCTGTAGCAATTGTTATGGAACTTATTGTACGAAGCATACGCCAGGTGAACACCAAACCCAGCTCCTACGGAGAAAAACACCTGAATGGCGGCGTCGTTCCATACCTGCGGTGCAAAATCAAATATTGCATTTGACGCACCTCCAAAATTTTGTTAAATTGTAAAATATCAATCAGAAAAGATTGCTGTTGAAAGAACACTGACATCATCATTAACATAGACTAAATAAAATGTAATCATGTTCAAAAACGGTATATTAGCGTGTGAAAGGTACAAGCTGCAGGCGGTCACCATGTCGAATAGTAAAAACAGCTATCTAATTTATGTCATGTGCCACCAAATGTATTGATGGTGGAACATTTACCAACAGTGGGCAATAGACATGCAAGCTCCCTATTAATGATACAGATACTGCGTTATTTTTCACCGACCTGCGGATCCGCAAGCCGCTCCACCTTTGGTACGATGAAATAAGTGATTCCTTCCACTGATCCGGGCAGCAACAACCCCCGGATTAGCAGGATCAGTAGGATAATATATGGTAACGTGGCTGTCACCCACACAACCTAAAAGTACAGAAAATAATAATATTTAAATGTAAAAATTTATGTAACTGTCGGGCCTCCGTATTCATAAATAGTTCTAAGTAGTGCAGTGTACAATAAATCCAAGTCATTTAAACCTAAATTACAGCATCGCACTGAAAGCACTTGTATTAATATTTTTCATGTATCAGTCAAGCGCATCTCCTCATACTTTTGATACTTTTCAACTTATGCATTTTTTATTTTTCTAAGAACAAAATATGCTGAATAAAATTCAAGTGCAGAAGGGGCAGGCCTACGATACATGCCAACAGGTTATTTGTACTGCCTGTGGTATTCATCTGGCCGGTCACTGAAGAGAAAAAACTTCCGGGAGAAAAAAATTAGTACTTGAAAAAGATACCTAACATATTTTCAAAAACACCCATCATACCTGCAATGATCCTTTATTACCTTTCCAGAAGTTTTAACTCCTTTCCACAGCGCAAAGTAGAGGATGAGAAATACCGCGAGCAGACACAGAACTAGCTGCCATCTTGGCTCGCCTAGGTCGTCTATTCCTGTGCTCCTTTCTATCCCAAGCATACCACGTCTGAAAAAAATGCATTGAAAAAAAATTCAAATATAAAATATGTGATCCGAATCGACAGATAATTTTCCATGGATCTAATGGGGTTATTCCGAACAATTTTGCTTTTAAAGCATGGTAACATTTGCATACACCTTGCATTCATCTTGCAAAAAAATTGGAATCGATGTTCTGATTGCGTTTGGTTGTGATGTTCATGGAAATTGTGACGGCTGTTCTGACCAACTTTGATTACATCGGTATGTCTTTTTGCATTTTGGGTTACATATGTTTTGTATATAAGTGCCTCCCTTCCCAAACATAAAATCCGCCTTTGTGACTCACTCAAAGTACTGTGTGGCTGACGTCTGTGAAGTGGTGACATTCAGCGTGACGTTATTGCACGTGATGACATCCGTGGCATTTTGACTGGAATCCCAGCACTGGCAGTCATTCCAGTCGTTACCGCACGTGGTCCACGGTAGCACGGACGTAAATGAACCCACCAGGTAATACAACGACCAAGCTAGGATTACATTGTAGAAGAAAGCTACGTAGTAAGCTATGAGACACACCGCCCACCCGACACCTGAAAATAACAAAAAGAAATGTATACTTTCAAGAATGTTACGAAATTCTGAAAACCTCGAGTGGCTGGATATACATATAGACTATAATAATGTGAGCAGAATAAAACTACCTTATTTTTAGATTTCCATTTCGTCTTCAAAGCCACCACGAAATCAGCCTACAATATGAATGCCCTACATAGATGTCACACCAGTAATCATGCCGCTAAAATCTACAATATTGCACTGATGTCAATTTGTTTGTGGCATACTTTGGTCTACTTCTGCATATCTGATATAAGAGCAACATTAAGCTACATTCAGTGAATATGTAAAGAAGTTCTTAACTACCTCGAGTATACTAGGTTCATCTGAACTACCAAAATTTGTTGGTTACTGTACAGCAAAGGTACGTACAAAGAGTTCTAGCCATTAAGGCATGTGTGCCAGGTCCAAACTAACATTACAGGTGTCTAATCTGCCAATTAAGGCAATGCTACCAGTTCTGACCAGCCAAGGCATGTGTACCAGGTTTAAATTACCAATGCATTTGTACTATATATGGACTGACAAGGCATGTGCATGTACCAGGTCTGTGGTTACAGGGCAGGTGTGCCAGGTCTGTGATACCAATTGCAAAACATGTGCTCCAGATTTGCACCGCCAAATGCAACGGTTTGTGTACCACTCCCTAGGTAACCGTACAAAGCAAGCATACTTACCAAAAAATATTGGAACCAATTTCCATACTGAGGCATACCTACCTGTAAAAATTGGAACCAACTTCCATACTAAGGCATACCTATGTGTAAATATTGGAACCTCTTTCCATACTGAGGCATATCTACACAATGTACCTGTAAATATTGGAACCACTTTCCCTACTGAGGCATACATACCTGTAAATATTGGAACCACTTTCCATACTGTGACAGGCCCCTCTCTATTGAACTGTCCAAGACATACCTCCATGTAGAACAACGGAAGGGCGCCAAATAACAGCATGAGGAAATAAGGGATAAGGAAAGCGCCTGAAAGATATTAGGACAAAACATGTCACTGTAAATCAACGAATGTCAAAACAGTCATAATCTCCAGTTATATTTCTTAAATTATGACACAATTTTGTTATGTCATTTGAATTCGATGTCATTACGCTATGGATAGGAACTGTTTGACTTACAAGTTTTATTGATACGGAGTGAATAATGAGTCGCTTGAGAATTTCGAAGTAAAAAGACAAAAAAGAAAAAAATTGGCGAATTGTTGCCAATGCTTTAGTTGAGGCACACTTGTTTTTATTAAGTTTATCAAGTTTATCTTCCCACACCTTATCAAAAGAAATTAAACTAGTCAACATGCTGAACCCAAACCTAAGTGTTTGTCATTACCAATATCAGCTGAGCAGTCTCTAATTGTCTGGCACTACTTGAAATAACTGTGTGGCACCATCGACTGACAGTTATACAGGAAAATTAATTTGTGAATTTCTAAGATACCAGCAAACCACGATGTCTTAAATTAAGCTAGCCTTTTCTTCATGGTATAACCAACTTCGTATAACATAGCGCAATTAGTGATAACAAAGGCGATAGGCATGGAAACGGGCATTTTTATGATTAAACGAACCACGGCTAATATGCCAATATGCCAGTGCACATAATCTGACTGACGAAACGATTCAGCCAACTTAATGCACAATTTGCTCCAATAATTTGCGGTTAATATAGAACAATTTCATTGGTTCGAATGGTCAGTTAGTCACTTTCAGTCTGTGATCACTTCACGATCTCCTAGAAAAATGACCATAACGACGTTCTTTTATGTGCTGGTCTGTGAATACAAGACCCCATTGCATTGTAATTTGTTCCAATTGAACAGCAGCGTTTTAATATGCTGAGAGGGGAGTTAGCGCTTCAAGTTAAAGTAACTCTTAGAGAAATATAGCCGTACAATTTGTTCAAATGTTCAACTCATATCAGTATCAGAAACAAATTATTATATCACATCTTTCGTAAAATATCTTATGTATATTTTTGCAGAAGTATGCGCTGTTCTTGATGTTTCGCATCGGGCAAATTCCACAACAATAAGAAGGGTTACCCTTTTTGCTTTTCGTAACGGAACCTACTTTTTTACACTGCCTGTGTGAAGGACCAACTCTACCATTCATTTTCTCCCCTCCCTCCCATTCCATTAATGTTAAATCTTAACACTAGATTTCAAGTGCTTCGTCCAGGGCGGGACGTCACTCAAAGGTTCATGTCGCCCCTGGCGTTCTAGATATGTCCCCATTGTCTCTCAGCATGATCACAATTAATGCCTCGGTCTCACGGCGTCAAGATATCCGAACCCCAATGGCGTAGAAATTGAACCTGTGTTGATTCAAAGGGGAAATACTGATACCATTCAACTGTATACGTGGCTATGAATAAGGTCATCTGTTAACATGAATAAGAAAATGCAGTCGTCTTAATTAATTTGATTGTGCAAGGAACTTTCTATTATTGGCATGAAAGGGAAAAAAAGAAAGAAAAATAAACCCAAAACCAGTGAGAGTTGATATGGAAGAAGCACTGTTGTTAGGGAAATTATATCCACTAGTCAATCTTTAATGCAGCTGCATCTTTCTTTCATTTTGCTCAGTATTTTCGCGTTGAGTGCCTATGCTAGATCCCAGTGCCCTCAGTTCTTTTAATCATTCTGCCCTTTCGCTTCTATTTATGTTTTAATGTTCTCAAATTATTTTACACGCAAAATAACACCGGTAGTTGATATTTTTGGAGCGTTTTTGTTTAATCCTCCGTGCCAAATGATTGAGGCCAACATTCCTAACCTCAATATACACGCGTTTCTTTCTAAACTGTTTATTTTCCTTACCACATGACTCGCGACATTTGCCATGACACGCCTCCACGTAAATTGTTCCATATCGTTCTACTAATCTGTAGGCAGTAAACATAGTGGAGCAATTTGTATTGCACGCGGCCCCGTGGGTTTCTGAAAAGCGCTGTAAGTGGTTTATGTTCAACTTGTTCCTGAGTAGTATTTACTTTGGATAACGTGACTCTCACGATCGTTGGATTTCTTTCCTTTTCTTTTATTTTGAAAAGCCCCTCGTTTTAAAGTGAACTCTTACAGTCTTGACTTGAGCGATAGTATGTGAATTTTAGTGAGACATCTCGCGAATAAGTAAAGTGTGCTTACTCTTTCTCTCACTCTTTCTCTGTCTTTTAACTTGCAAGTGTTTCGTTTACTTTTCACCTTTTCCAGTACACAAGGCATTTTGAAAAACGACCACCTACCGTGTGAAGACTCAGTACAAAACCATCATCAATATCTTCTGTCAGAGTTATGCCCTACATATTTGCAATTTTGAGGATCATTTCCTGACAAAAACACGATATCACTATTGCGATTGTCTTCAATGTTTTTATTAATATGTTTAACCACGGGGATCGCATATATCAATCTTGACTTTGGCTATTACAACACTCAATACAACTTGCTGGTGTTATCTTACAGCGCCGTTCATTAGTACATGTAGCTCTAGAGGTAGCGAAAAACACCAAAGTCGTAATGTCGCAGAAGTGTACACGGAGGCCCACAGAGTGAGCGTTAGACTTTTATGTGGCAAAACATTAATTTAGTTTGCTATTTCAACTGCTTTCCCTCAATCACCACAACATACCATATATCCTAAACCGTTCACATAATTACGATTGACAATCCCGTTTTTTTTTTTCAATTCTTACTTTCTAGTTTTTCAGCCATTCACACATAGAGGTAAAGATGGTTGATTTTCACTCGTGACGGTAAATAATTATCGGTTTAGAACTCGAAAACGGTTGCTACATCTTGGTGAGAAAGGGGAAATTGCGGAAAATCTATAAGAATTTCTCTTTTGCTGTATAAATGTTTTATGGTTGTAAGTGTTGAAATGAATACACCAAACGTCATAAACATATCGTGGAAAGAATAATAGTTACACGCTTGTATTATTTAAAATCATATTATGGTACATTTCTTATATCAAAAACGTAGAGCAGATAACCACTTATAAGCGTCCAGGAAGTGAATATCTTTCTGTTTCAAAGAAAGTACTCTGCTAACATCTGTAGCCTGCTGATTACATGAACCATAAACTGATGGCTCAGCTGTTATGTACTTGTGGCGTTTTTTTTTTTTTTTTTACACCTGTTGTGGTTGGTATCAATTTTAATCTACAGTGCTGCAAAGAGGTATGGTTGCAATTTCCTTATTTTAATGTTCTGATCCATGTTTATGCCACCTTTAACTGTGGTTTATCTCTGATTCGTAACTGATATGACTCTCTGTATTGGCCGAAGTCCTGGTGCATGCAACCCTTGCAAACCTGTTGACAAACCAGGAATTCAATTAAAATCCTCGGTGAAAAATAGAGGTAATATCTTCCCCCATTGTAGACAATGTACAATATATCTGCCAATTCATCAACCATCACTGTGACGGCTTCTCACAGAAGTCTCAGTACAACATAGTTTGGTAATTTCGATCTTTAAGTGCTGTTTTTTTGACGTCGTCGACATTATCGCATTGCAATAATACAGTCGATTGCGCTATAAATCCAGACTGTTATCATCATTTTTGATTTGATGAATTCCGGATCTCCTGTTTAAACTTCAAGATGAAATGCGCCTTTCCTCGGCTCGGCATTAACAGAGGTAAATAGACCAATAAACATCGACTCATAACATATTACTTCTTACAGGTTTCCCCGGTGTATTTCTCTTGCAATTACTTCTTAAAAAATATTTTCATAAATAAAACGACTGACCTTAATATGCAAATCTTGAAGTATTGTTGGTAAGTATTTTACTCTTATTAGTTGCAATTTTAAATTATTCTCATGTCTTGTAATAATAATATTGTATTATTATTATTATTACAATATTATTATTACAATATTGCATTGTATTTACTCTTTAAAGGTGACATTTTTACTTTTTCATTGAAAGTGAATTATTATTATTATTATTATTATTATTATTATTATTATTACGATATGATATATACAGGGCACAACCCGACAAATACACATCCTTTAAATACAACTCCCATCTTTATATGCTACACACAATCACTTAAAATAAAAATGATCAAAACATAAGGATTACCCAGTTAATGTATTGGTCTATGTATCGTTAGTATTTTAATCCACTTTATATATTAAATTGTATAAAACACAAATAAAATGACCACGGGTATGATCAATGATGATGGAATCAAAATTAACAAATATGGACACAAAACATGGCTAATTGTGTCTTGGGTCAATATTTTAAAACTTTTACAGCTGACCTGTAAAATTGCATGTGTTGACCATCTTCACAGTGGGTATCTTGAACACAGCAGGTACGACACTGTGCCCTGGGCGCCGATTGAAGGTGGCGCCACTGAGAGTGTTTTTTGCATCAGTGAAACAAGGAAGATAAGGGTTTAATTGCTATGTGGTGCCAAACGTTGTTAATGTACAGTTTCACTAAAAAGACTGGTGTTTTTTCCAGTTAGGGAGTAGGGTGGAATTTAAACTACACACAGGGCATCGTGTATATCGGACATGACTTCTTTAAATAATCATGTGTTCCTAAATGGTATAAAAAGTTGCTTCACTTTGATTATACGTGAATCTGTCAGTTGAATAGAGGCTGGGCAAGTCCGAAAAACTACAAAACACTTCATTCTGACAGTGCGTATTTGGGCATTAATTGTTGTATTGCACTCCACGCGGCTGTTATGCCAGCTATTTATTTAAAACTTTATTGTACTTTTAATTAAATATTTTTGCTTAAAATGCATGTCTTTTTTTAATTTAAAATTGATTTCTGTGGGTTTTGAATTCCTCCATATAAAAATTAATCACTGAAAGAAGATAATTTAACATTTTTATTGAATAACTCACCTCCGCCATTTCTGTAACACAGGTATGGGAATCGCCAAACGTTTGCCAAATCCACAGCAAAACCAATGATTGACAACAAAAAGTCTATCTTCTTCCCCCATGTTTCTCTCTCCTCACCCCTAAACTCCTCATCGTCAAGTTCTTTCTCTTTCCGGACGTCTGAGACAACTGTTCCGTTACTTTGGAGATAGACCTCCATGTCCGAGTCTTTTCTTGGAGACATCCTGTGATTGGGCATCATCTTGTATCTCTCGTCGTACTGACTGGAATCGTTAGTACGGCCGCCGCCATCACGGTTACTCTCCGGGTCATCAGAATCCGAGAGGAGTCTTTTCTCGTTATGATTCACCTCATCCATGCCTTTATTTTCCACGCCCACGATTTGGACGTTTTCGGGCGCTGCTCCCCCTGTTATTATAGACACCTCATCGTGAGGCCCCTTTTTGGAATAACTGATCAGCGATATTCCTGTTGATGCCCTGGAAGTGGAGCAACAGATTGAATTGAAAAAAGGAAAATTATTTCTATTTGGTCACTTGGAACTTTATGTTGTGACACCCTTCTTGACACGCAATTTTAACATTATTGTACCGGCGTAGGTGTTTTCTTATAGCGTTAATTTCTCCCTCCTCTCGTCAATATTGATGTTTACTTTTATTAAACGCTGATTGGTCAAATCTATCTCTATCTAACTCCTACGTTTACTCCTTTCTGGATAACTAAATAATCAGGGATACTATTAATTTTCTATAGCGGGTGAACCTGGACACCACTACTGCAATTAATCAAGCCGAATTTGACTAAAATTTAGGTGTGTTACAGTTTAACTAAATTAAAAGTCAAACACAAGCCATACGTGTCATAATACCCCCCACAAAACAATTAAAGATACGAGCAGAGTCGTGTATGTGTACGAGCCATAGTACGTCAGAGTCAGGTCCGCGCTTTGGATGACTTGTCATTTTGAACAACTTAAGAGCGTTTTAGAAATTTTCAAAAAGTTGCTGTGTCTTTATTAAATATTAAATATTTTTACCTGTGATTGTAGGGGATTTTTATCAGGAGCTAAAACAATTGATAAACCAAGGTAAGCTTTCCTAAATGTGTATATACCTCGCAGGCATATTCATGTAAATATATTGATTCATATAAAAAAGCTCAAAAGAAAGAGAAAACCCTCATCAACCATTGATCGCATTCTGAAAAGTACACCTGTACTTCAAATTTTCAGCTTGTTCATAAATCACATTCAAATAACATTTCTAGTGAGTAAATCTCATTTTCACAGAAGTCGTTGCAGTCTGCTGTTAGAAATATCGTATTCCTTTGTCACAGTCATTCAGATTGGCACAATTAGTTCTAAAAAAGTGTACTTTTAAAAGTTTGATAAGAAGTATTGCAATACTGTATGTGGAGAAATTGTGGGGCCAGTGTGTGTGTCACCGAGTCCGTCCTAGTCGGGTTTGACAAAGGGTACCCAGGGGCGGATTTAGGCCGTCTTCTGGGTCTTCCGGAAGACGGTCAGATTTTCAAGTTTACATTGACGGGTATCTAATTTTTTTCTGTCGGAAGACGGTCAAAAATGGTGGATGGATCAACAAAGATAATTTGGAAGACTGTCAGAAAATATCTCTGAATCCGCCCCTGGGTACCTCATGGGTCCCATTTGGGTTGGCCCGATTGCTCTTGCGCAACTGGCCTGTGTGTACTGGTACTTTTCGTGCTTTAGAATAACACACATGGAACCCTTAGTATTTGGACCATCTTTGACATCCCAACCCAACCCACCAACCAACCAACTCTTCCTATCTCCCCAATATATATATATATATATATATATATATATATATATATATATATATATATATATATATATATATATATAGTTCTTTTCTGTTTCTGCTTATTTTATCAAGCGAACTCCATGACCCTGCGCAACGGATCCCAGTTGGTCAAAGCTTTTTGTGCTCTAGCTGAACATATTGGACGTCCTTATTTGTTCCAAGTTTTTCATAATTCTCAAAATTTTCTCCAAAGATTGTTGTATTACATTGCTAGACCAATATGAATGCAATATAAGTGTGATTGAGATACAAAAAAAACAAGGAGAAACTTTTTTCATGAAGAAGTATCCTATCTATAACGCTGAAAGAGGCTCGAACAGACTTTTACCATTCTAAGTGCATGGAGTGATACGACATAGACTATAAATTCCACTTAATTACCCCTCAGTTTGGCTAAAATGTTAACCACCTACCTTCCTCCATGTTCTTTTCAAAGTGAGTGCCACTAAATCAAATGGTTGGTTAGTATTAGAGCATGTCAACAACTATTACGACCACGAAGATTTCACATATGTAACTTATTAAGTAACACACGCCAACTTATGCATATAGCAGGTGATCCTTCTCTGTTCTATTTGAAATGCTATGTTTCCAATCGATTAAATCCAATAAAGTTTTTTAAAGGTTAATATAAAAAATTGAAAAACAATCCTGTAAACAGAATGAAAACAGGGACTGCGTACGTCCTTAAATTGATCCTAATTCTTAATTCATGATGGACTTACAAGTCCGAAAGCCTGACTGTTTGTATGCACATGCCATTATAATAAAACGATAAATGAATATACAGGATACTTTATTCCAGTTCTTATACATGAGAAGAATGAGACAAATGACTTTTTAAAACAGAAGCTGTCACCGAAAGGAGCTTGCATAACAGGAGCTATACTCTAGGATGGATTCGTTTCAGAAATATGCTTAAGGTAGTTTGCTAGCTAGCCAAAGGACATGAAATACTGAATATCACAACGCAACTGAAAAATTATTAAGTTTATGTTATTGAATAATACTGCTTTGTCTACATTATCTTTTTAATCACTGTGATATTTGGTGCCATTTTAAGCACGCACGTGCCACTCCCTCTGCTAGCCGCTGAGAAGGCATTTCTGACATAGCGGGACAGTTTTTGTAGTCGATGAGATTATTATCAAAACCCGTTTGATATGTGCTAGCCCCCTTTTTTACACACCTCCGCGAAAACTAAAAAGTACTGCGTCGGTAGATCTGACTCACTAGTACATTAGCACTGTAGTGTTGTTCTAAATGACGAACGGCTATACACAGTAAGTGCAAAAGACTTTAAAACTTTGTAAGAATGTAAGAAATAATTATACTCCACAAAACAATTTTGTCTTTTTATCAGCTTTAAATTTAATTTTCTTTTCTTTAAAGAATCTTTAAGTATATTTTTGTATTTTTGAAACAGGTGCGTTTTTATTCGTCATAAAAACAAGACTGTCGTCATTTAACCATTCTCACCATGCACTGCAAACGCAAACATGTACTCATTCCCCAACATTTCAATAACTTTACCTTTTCCCGCCGTTAAGATTAAGTGTTTTGTACCCCAAATAACAGAAAAGGTTGAAGTCAAGAGCTGAAAGATTTCCAGGACATTGCTCTTTCGATATTAAGGAGAACCGACCCTTCCATCTCTCCCATGAATAGTAGGAGATAATTAGTCTGCCATAACTTGCCACCACTTGATTTGACTGGTGTCAGGATTCTCTGCCTGCGTCATTTCAAATGCATATAATGAGAAGAATGAGATCTTTCTGAGAAGAAATAGATCTTTATATTGTAGAATATTTTTCTGGAATTTCCTGGTTATCGTTGAACTTTTCCTTTTAATAACCAAGGTAAACCATATCTAAAACCGTTCACAAACGTACCATCTATACATCCGTTTTCGAGATCTAAATGTCTAATTTTGTGGAATTCTCTGGTCTCTGTCTCCATTACGAGAGTGACCCAATAACAAGAAACTTTGAACTCAAACACGTATTTATGGACCGTAGTAATGTGGCCGGTTTTTGGATATGGTGTGCCTTAGTGATTTAGAAAAAAAAAAGAAAATGTAATTTCTAGGGAAACTCATTTTTTGCAAGAAAATGGTCTGACGCCCGTCGTGTGACTTTAACCATACAATTCTGATCCTGTTCCTGCATTAAACGTTCCACATCTATGCCATTTTCTGTGCGATTGAATAAATCCAATAACCCTAAAAGATTTCAGACTTAGTATAAAGCTCCTGTGATTTAACATCTATCGACATGTTTAGCTCTGCAGTGGCAAAATGAGCACTGTAATTGCTAATCTTTCGTGAAGTAGGTCAATGCAAATATAACCATTTTTTTAATTTACGAATTCTACCCTAATTTTTCAAGTCCTTATAGTCTTATATAATCTGATATATAACCAGAGCTTCAAATTAATGTAAATGCATAGGAACGTTTAAACCCCTTGTAAGTGTTTTTCTGGTGTATTCAATCGAATGGAATCGAAGGAACCGTTCTGATGTGTCTACGTATGCAGTGTGTGTGTGTGTGTGTGTGCGCGTGCCTGCATATGTGTGATTCCCGTTATCAAAGCAGAGGAACTACCTAAAGCACTTTCACAGGTCCGTATTTTTAAGCCCACTGATCACCAACTATCAACACAAGCATGCCGCCAACAATACACACGTTCTTCGCAACACGCAACATGAGCATACTTGACATCGGATGACCACTTACCGGACTTACGGGAGGCGACGGGATTAGTGACGAAGTCTAATCTTTTCAGGGAGATCAGTAACGAAGTCTCATCTCTTCAGAGAAAACAACACGGAAAAATAATTGCCATGATTTCCTGGAGCGCGCGACGGGTTTTGCTCGTTCTTGTCCGACAGCGAAATGAACGCATTCCCTAGGCAATCTCAGTCTTATCATTACTCTTGTAAATTTCAATTCTCTCCTCCATTGACATATCATCATTGATGGCTTAAGATTTATTAATCGGGTGCCTATTCAATTACAGAGCTCTTCAAAACGCATTGTAAAGATTGTCGGGAAACCAATCCATAGCTTTCAATTGGCACGGTAATCTCTGGCCTTGGACTTGGAGACATTTAAGAGAAAGGCAAAGATGATGGATCATTAACTGTGTATATAGGGTGCGGCGGAAGCTTTCTCACATCGAGTGAATGATTTGGTTGTAATTGCACTCCTACGAGTTATAAACCGGTTGTATCTTTATGAGGTTTGTTAGACAACCAGTTGGAATAAGTGGAAGGATTTTAATTTTCTTATATTAAGCTATTTCTAGAAACCACAAGGTTTTTGTTCACGGAGACGGTAAATGTTGTGTCCTTCCCACTGGGAATTCTTTTGGTTACGGACGTCTCATCTGTCCGATGTCGTGCTTAGTTGCACTACATCGGACGGGTGAGGCGTCCGTAACAATTTTTAACGTAAACATCTTGCGCTGGTCAGCACATTATTTAGTAAGGATTATAATACTTGCTTGAGTAGAGCATAGGTTCTCTGTTTATATTTTTTGCAACATCGTAACGTTTTACCTTGAACGAAGCGTTAAGGTTTCTTGATCCGTAAATTAATTGTTTCGTACTCAGGGCGCTGTGCATGGGACAGATA